CTGTGGAGACAGTTAGAAGCACCATGTTTCTTGGTGTACACATTACAGATGACCTCACTTGGTCCCTCAATACCATCTCCATAGCCAAGAAGGCAACACAGCATCTCTATTTCCTGCGGCGACTGAGGAGGGCAAACCTTCCCCAGCCTATTCTTACTACTTTCTACAGAAGCACCATTGAGAGCACCTTGACCAGCTGTGTCACTGTTTAGTTTGGGAATCGCAACACTTCAGACTGCAGGACGCTGCAACGAATTGTGAAAACAGCTGAAAAGATCATTTGAGCCTTCCATTTCTGTCACCTATCACAGACGCTGCTTACACAGGGCCTCCAGTATAGTAGATGACCCCTCGCATCCCTCCCACAAACTCTTTGCCCTCCCGCCATCTGGAAAAAGATATCTGAGTGTAGAGGCTAGCTCCACCAGACTCTGTAACAGCTTCTTCCAGCAGGCTGTCAGGCTCCTCAACACCCTGGAATCTACTTGCACCCACCCTAATTCCAGAAATAAGGTTTAAATCCCCCTAGTGTGTTGTGTATATTGTATGCTTTATTTACCTTGTAATTTGCACTTTGCACTATGTGTACCCTGCCTACAATGTCTGTCAGTGTCCTGTCTGTCCTGCCTGTATTGGCACTGTGGACGAGGTGGAACGATATTTCTTTCCACTGTATACTTGTATATGGCTGGAATGACAAATAAATGTGAACTTGAACTTGATTTAGACACGTCAAAAGAAAGGCTGCACCTTAGCAAAAATCACTTAAATCTGTGAAAAATCACGGTAACTCTGAAAAGTATCATAGAAATCTATGTACAGTACAATGTGAGGGATTTGAAGTCTTGCGTTGCTCGATATTATTGATATTGACCCTCAAAACCTTACCATCAGATGAAAACGGTGCCCTAGATGAAGATCATGGCTGTATCATGTAATTTTGTTCATAAGTTAGCAAACTTTTAAAAAGAGGCGGTGACGTTATCTCGCGTCAGACCCTCTCGCTGGGAATTTTATAGTGAGCCATAAGCTAGCCTAGCATCCGTGTCAAAATGCCAGGTTAATGTGATTTCAGTGGCCTCTGGTTAGCAAATGAAAAATACAAGCGATGGCTCCAAAAAGACGAAGACCCAGGGCGTGCAAGATGTATGCAGGTAAAGAGGTGATGAAAAATTAATGGAAGGTTTTGGGATTTTGTTGGTAAAAATGAGTGGGAACCCTGAATGTTCAAATTTCTTATCCTTGTGTAAATGAACGTGAAGAATTTGTCTACGTGCAAACCATTGCATCTTTCACGTTGATGCACCTTGCCCCTCCAGAAAGTCTACCTTCTGGAAAACGTGCTATTCTATAACTGCTTGATTCGAGACTTCCTTCACAAGAATGTCCAATTTCCGAGTTGTGTTATGCTAGTTGTGTTGGATTATAATTTGAGGCCGAATAGGGGAGGAAAAAAAGGAAAAAAAATCTTAAATTCGTTATGGTACATGACAATATGGTAAAGATCACTTTAAACGATGGTGGCAATGGTGCGGCTTTAACTCCAACAAAGAGAAGCCAGGTTGTGCACTCAAAAGCTTCATTGTTTTTAAGAATTTTACCTTCTGTTTAGCAGACTAAAACCTGCATTGGTGTCATCTTTAGACTTTGAAAGCTTACATGTACTCCAAATCACCAAGAAAGCAGAGAAATACCATAATTGCAATGAGTTTATTATGTTAAGAAAATCAACACATTTATGAAATTCACATTAAAGAGTCAATACAGTGTTTTATATACATTAGTCTATTGCACATTTCATTTTAAAAAAAGGAATGCTAAGCAGCAGTTTAACAATTTATCCTATTCGGCTTTGTTCAAAATATACACAATACAACAGCTGTTGCAACACTTGATAAATTCCATACAGTGGCAGCATGCACCATTAGTACACATCTAAGCTCAAACTCTTGTAGTTCAGGAATAATAGTGTTAATGGAAAGGTAGTAGTATACAGCAGTGAGGAAATATCCAGTGTGTGCATTTTTTAAAATTATTTTAAATACATCTTTTTTTTTTACACAGCTTTTCACATTTCAAGGTTACGTTTTTAAAATCCAATTCACAGAGCGGTGCAGGTAGACCAAACGGGTTTGTTAGTGTTCTTCCTTGTCTCGGCCTTTCCTCTCCTTCTCATCCTGCAGCGCAGTGCCCAGCTTCTTTATCAGGACCGACAGGACCTTATCCAGAGGGTCCATCACCCCTCTCTGGAGCCACTTGGGAATGGTAGTGCGTGCGTGATGGAATCCCAGTTTCTGGAGTATATAATCGACCCCCACGGGGTCAATCTTTCTGCCAGTCCACGAAATTAACCTGAGGGATACAAACATTACACCCTAAATGAAAATCGCAGAAAGTGACATTCCTTCTTATTTTAGAGAAACAGATAACACAATTTTAAATACAGATGACAATAAAAAATCTTGTATAATACCAATTTACCAATATACATTACACATGAAAATTTAGTCTATTCATGTCTGTTCCTTTAATATTTTACAACTATTTTACTTCTTAACTGAACTATATACATTCAAAATGAGGAACATTTTTTATGATTTATGAAGAGGGGGAAAATTATGCAGATATACATTCTTAATTCTAGTTTCAATTATTCTATATCTCCACATTTCAGACCTTAAAGGGCCTAATGTACTTACTTAACCCACCCTGACCAATATTTGACAAATCTGTTCATCTGTAATTTAACTGAAAACGTTAAGTTGTCCATTATGTAAACTTTTTTTATAAAATTCAATCCAACCACTGATTGTTGGTAAATCTGGGAGGAGGCAAGAACGTGACATTTCATGTGAAACACATCATGAAGTTAGTCTTAAACTTTGTGCAGTACAGTAAACCCCACACCTTCCCTCCTTCTGTGTGGCAAAAAATACAAATGCGATACACTGATCAAATCAACCACAGCGACAGATAAGCTATCAAATGTCTGCAAATCCCTTAATATTTCCCATTTTCATAGTCCATGGCTTTTCTGCCTGTATTCAGATCAATGCGTCTCCAATGAAAATAAAACCAGGCTGAACGCTGGATTGATTGGCAAGACTCCACACAGATACAGTACCCATCTCCGAGCAGAACGCAGCCCCCGAACAGGGTAACGAGGCGTCTGCCGATCCGCCTTACCGGAGTGTGGGTTCCAGGTGCCACGTGTTACACACAAACTCCCGCCAGTCCACAGTCGTGTAATTCACCGTATCCTCCTTGTCTTTTTCCGTGGAGTTCTCGTCGTGGACGGCGGTCGGACTCTTCTGCCCCGGTCGGGCAGCAAAAATACGAGGCGCAAAGAGAGCTGCAACGCAATCAAAATAAGCTGGATTTAGAATTGTGCAGATTTGCAGTCATTAAACAGGCAATATCTGGCCTAATAATATTTTATGTAACACGAATCATTAATTATGCTACAATTATCTAAATGATTTTGATAACATATTTCTCATGCAATATTTGTTATTCCTTTTTACATTTAAGAGCAAGGCAGGCTCAGTTGTTTCTGTAATTTTGGCATTACTGCAGTCTGCTCCCAAAGCAGATTTTATGCAAAACATACTGAAGAACACCTTTAAAGTTTTATAACTCACATCATATTCAAGACCAAACGAAATTGAAACTTGTATGTTATACATTATCTAGCGTTTCGAGTACTGAAAGTATTCTGTACTGTGGTTGATGCGGTATTGTAAGGCAGCCAGAAAGTAGTTCAGCACAGCCCTTATTCTCACCTTTTTCCTTTTCCTTAAGGTAAGCAGACACCAGGTCGTGCAGAAACATGATCAGCTCGGCATCCATGGTTACACATATGTGGTCAGTAAATTCTGTCACCACACTGCACTCCACCTTCGGCTTGCTGCCGGTTTCTGGGTTGGAAAATCATCACAAAAGTTATACAAAATCACAAATCGGCAGAAAAGGAAAATGAACTTTACCATTTCACCAAGCTGAATACCTCAGAACAATTATAAATGTACGATAGTAGGAAACGTCTGTTGAAGACCACAAAATTAGCAGGTAATACACAGAACTAAGAACACGATCCTTTTTTAGGGTCAGAATTAATTCAGAATAGGAGATCAGCGGCTCCTTCTTTTTCAGGCGCTTACAGTACATGCGAAAATGTCCTATTCATTCTATCACTAGTGGCTTTGTCTTTGCTTTTACTATTCTACTGTAAGTAACTTAAAAATAACTTAGAAGAGCAGGAGGAAAAGCATTCCATAGCAAGTAGCAGCGACAGAAAAAGCAGGGTCACCAGAGGTTCTACTGCAATGAGCAAAGCCAGCCTCAACTGAACTCAGCTATGAGAGGGAGTGTAAACATGGAGCAATTCAGAGATGTACAGTATGATGGAGCCAGATTTTTTAAAAGCCTTAAGTCAGTAACAAGATATTATATTGAAAATGTGATGTTACAGGCAACCAGTACTTGTAAAATCATCCAACTTTATACAATCCAATAATTTCCCCCCTTTGGACAAGCCGCCAAAGTTCATGTTTAATTTCAGAATCAGAGCTACAGAAGTCATCTTTCACAGGACTGTTCAAACTCTGTTGCTGGTGTACTGGCTTACTTCCTTTCTTAATCAAATTGAAATGTACTGTCCGGCCACACTGTGCCCTTTAGTTTCAGCCCCTTCTTCCTTACCCTGTAATGACGGCTCCTCGGGTTCCTGTACGTGAATCGATTTGAAATCCAGCTGCATCCTCGGCAAGGCGAAGATGGTCTCGGTCTCGTGGTTGTAGCTCGATGCTCCTCTGAATCCACTCAGCAGGCTGGAGCTCTTGGCTGCTACCCCACTCTCGGGATTGTTCGCGTCAACATTTCTCAGGAGGTTCAGCTCTTTAAAGGAGAGAAAATTGTGGTCATCAAAATAAAACTGGAAGAAATTCCAGAAATGGACCAAACACATCACCTTCCATAGGTGATCAAAACCAAGTGGTAACGTGGAAATCTCTCTGGTTGTGGGGTAGCCCAGGCCTATCCCACCAATGTGGGGTACCCGCCGGAATGGAACGCCAGTCCATCACAGGATGGACACAGACCCAAATTTCAGAGTCACACAGGGCCAATCTTTCCAGAAGCCAATTATCCTACCAGTATGTATGAGTATGGGAGGAAACTCACGTGAAAACAGGCAGAACACACAAACACCACACAAGAGACCACCCCAGGAACCGAACTAACTATTTAACAGCAGGAATGCTAATTATTTTAATCAGAACAACCACTAGAAAAAATACAAAAGTGGACCATAATATTACTCTTTTACTGCAGTTATTCTCAAAGACATGTACAGTTGTATGCAAAAGTTTGGGCACCCCTGGTCAAATTGCAGGATTCAAAGTTAACCACTTCTGGAGGGTTCAAACTTAAACATGACATATTTCTATATATAATTTAATGCACAATTACTATTTATTTTATTAATTTGACAGATTGAAAAAATAAATAAATATGCAAATCAATATTTAGATAAGCCAGAAACTTTTTGGAACTGACTGCTGTGGACTGATAAAGCAAAAAGTGATCTTTTAAGCCACAACCACAAAAGATACATTTGGAGAAAAACGGGTGAAGAGAACACCTTGCTAACTGTTAAGCATGGGGGTGGATCCATTATGCTTTGGGGTTGTGTGACAGCCAGTGGCACAGGAAATATCGTGTGTGTGGAAGGAAGAATGGATTCAACTAAAAACCAACAAATCCTAGAAACTAATGTCCCAGTGCAGAAATTGAAGCTGAAAAGAGGTTGGATATTTTGATCCAAAATCCAAAACCATGAAATACTTACAGGAACAAAAGATTAAGGTTTTTGGAAGGTTCCCAAAATCTTCACAGTCCGCAGACTTGAATATTATTAAAAATCAGTGGGGAATTCTCAAACATGCAGTGCATGCAAGAAGACCTAAGAATATTTCTGAGCTGCAACATTCCTAAAGCAAGAATGTAAAGACTGGCTACAAGAAACGTTTGGAAGCTGCGATTTCTGCTAAAGGAGGTGTTACTTAGTATTGACTGACAAACGTTTGTACATGTCATATTCACTGTTTTTTTTCCATTTTGTAAATTCAGTAAATAAATGGTAATTGTGCATTAAAATGTTCAAAATGTGTCATGTTTAAGTTTGTACCCTGCAGAGGTTGCATTATCTTCTTTTCACTTCGAGATTCTGAGAAACATGTAATTTGACCAAACTTTTACATACGACAGAATAACCTTTTGAAACGGGATGTGTGTATCTTCCTGTTTAACAATCAATTAAAGCAAGGGACATGAAAAGGCTTTGTTGCAGGTTTTCATGCAGTTCAGAGACACACTGCCTTAACTGTAACGCTGGTGTTACAAGGATTTCCATCCATGTAACACCATGAAGGAATATTACTGAATATTCCTGAATATTACTGAAGGAATATTTCAGTAAGATTCCTGGCTTTCTCTCAAAACAGTTTATCATTAGGGTATGTCACCAGTGTGCATATGCAGGACTTAAAGTAAAGGCACACCCTGGTGCCACTGATTCATTTCACACTCAAAGTTAATATAATCAATCTTTTGTATTAATCTATTGTATTGTGCTAAGGATTTAAATACCTTATGATGGTCAACATCATGTGAAACATATTTACTGGGAAATTTTGGGAATTCGGTTAACTTATGAATGGAAAGGAACAAATAATAGGTTTATTCCATGCTGAAAAAAAGGAAGAAATAAAACACAATGTTTTGGCCGTGGAGCCTTCTTCAGGTGTGAATGGGTCTTAGGAATGGAAAGCACTTCCTAGAATAAAAACACCAGCATCGAATAATTTATACAACGTATCAGTCGATGTATACTGTGTTAAGCTAAACATTTTGATATCAATATTTTTGAAGTGGACCAACATACGCACTTGAATATAAAACATCAAGGCGGTCTTTTCTCATTGATTTATTCTATTCCTAGTCTTGAAAAGCTCTCCAGGAGCACCTCGACACGGGAACATGTGACAGCGTGAGGAGAGAATTGTGAAGGAAGCCAACCCATCACTGCCCTACCTTCGCTCCTCATGGCGGTGACGTAGTTGAACCACTCTTTGACGCTGGCGACTCCGTGAGGGGGGTTCTCGTGACGCCGGCGGGTGATCTTCGTGATGGTTGCCATGGGGCTCTCCAAGGCTCCACAGGGTTTAGTGACCATGGTGTTATGCCCCAGGTGGAAGTCTAGAGTCTGCACAATGTACGTGGAGTCATCACTAGAACCTAAAGCAAGATAATGGAGGCAAATACGTTAGCAAAGTAAAACTAGACTAAGTAAAAAACATCTCTCCCGAACACAAAAAACATCCAAGTTGAATTTTCTAGTTTGTATACCTTGTCCTTCACAGTTCTCCATTCTCTCCTTTATGCACAAAAATATCTAGCTCGTAAACTTTAAAATAAAGGTTCTAGTGTTAAACTGCTGTTTAACAAGTGACTCGGAAGCCTAACCTTTGTGAGTACCAGAAGCTAATAAAAGAATTACCATCTTCCCATATCTTCTGAGCCTCAGTCCAGAAGGCGATGTTTGGCTCTTCGAGGTGAAAGAGGGCCCAGGATTTGGAACGGAAATTAGGCCCATGGAAACACGCTAAAGTCATGTGGTTTCCATGGAGGCTCATTGATCCACCCAGTTGAACGGCATCTTCTGGCAAAGGCATCGGGAAGAGGGAGATGTGGCAGCCAGCAATCATCTTCAGCACGCCAGGCCAGTGACGGTGATGGGCTTTATCCAGGTCTGAAAAACAGGTGGCTTTTTACCAGCTTCACACGACAGAGCCATGCAAGCAAAATTACTAACCAACTACACTGCAATTGCTGCAGATAACTAGAACTGTGAGTTATGATCTCCTTTAATAGCTACACCTTCAGGGAAACTGGCTAACTCAGCACCCAACATTTTGAAGACATCCGTCTATCTATTTTCTGACTACTTCTTCCAATTCAGGGTTGTGGGGGAGCAATTAACGGTACACCACTGGACGGGATGCAGGGCACACGGACATAAACACACACTCACACCAGGGGTGGCTTTCCCAGGAGCCAATTAACCTACCAGTATGTCTTTGGACTCTGGGAGGAAAGCCACAAGAACATGAGAAGAACATACAAAGTCCGCATAGAACGAGTGTGGAATTGAATCCAGGGCACCAGCACTGCGAAGCGGCAAGGCTAAACACTACACCACCTCCGCATTATGAAGACATTCGTTTTTTAAATAATATTCAACAAGAAGTAAAAGAACAAAATGTCACACTAAACATTAGGTAAATATTTTAAAAGCACTGTAAATACAGACAATACACTTACATAGTTCTGCAGAGCCTTTTTCAATGTTGACTGGAGCTTTTGGGGGTATGTAAGGGACCGGACCCCAAGTGGAAAGAGCCCGTTTACTGGTGTCAAACTGCTGGGTAAAAAATTCTTGAAGCTTCATGCCAATCTTAATGAGATCTGGGGTGGTGGATCGAGATATTATAACCTGGAAAATATCCCACTGAAGATCTCCATGGACAAAGATCTCACTGAAAAATACATAACGGGCAGATAATGAGAACTGAGCCTCAGACCTCTTTTTTAGAAAGCACCAGCTTTTCCCATAAATCCCCAAATGTCAACTTTATAACATGCAATGACGGCAAACTTTTGTATTTAAGAAAAACACATATACACAGTTAATGAACTAAACTGAATTCAATTATTGAAACTGAACAGTGATTGAAAAAAAAAAACAGAGCTCAGACAATCAATAAAAAATCAGTGAAAACTACCAAATGTTTTTCAAAAGAGCACCAGTAACACAACTACAAAGGAAAAGCCGAGCCTGGTCTAGCTTTGTACTAAGTGACAGATGGAGTACAGGATACCTCTTTTCTGACAGAGTTGCATCCATGGTGTTACACAGGTTGACCTTCCATTCATCCTGCAGCTGGAGGTCAGCGTTGCTGAAAATCCCCATGAGGATGCTGGAGCCCATGTAATCCACACGAGCCTCCGTAGAGCCCATGGTGATCTGGATTTTATGGCTGGGCTGCTGAGTGGGATGTTCGGAGATGTGAGCTGAAATAAGCAATATAAAGAACTTAGAGGCTAGGTACTGAACCACAACACAACCACATCTGCCAACAGAAGGATGCCAGTCCTGATGTGTCACAAAGATGAAAAATATCTTCAGTGAAATGACATGGAGCACATTTTGTATTTTAAGATAACACAATTATATATATACACTGTATATACTTGACCCCTGGGTTCAGTTCCTGGGGTGCTATCTGCATAGAATTATTATATTCTTCCTGTGTTTGCGTGGGTATCACAAGGTTTTCTGGTTTCCTCCCACAATTCAAAGACATATTGGTAGGTTAACTGGCTTCAGGGAAAATTATCCCTAGTGTGAGTGGCTGTATCTGTATATGTCTTGCAACAAACCGTTGTCCCATCCAGTGTGTATCCCACCTTGTGCCCATTGCCTTCTGGGACACTGTGAGCCTGAACTGGATAAGGCGATATTGAGAGCGATGTGATAACGTAATACATTCTTTATTCTTTTTGGGTCTTTGTCATTTATAAAAACAATGTAACTACAGTGCATCCACTCTTAAAGGAACTACTTTAATAAAGCTCTAATGCTGTAATTTGCTTTTGTGTTATAAGCCATAATACAATAAAACACTTTGACTGAGACTCAGTATAGAGCATCCAAAACACCATGAGGAAAAACTCCAGCAGAATCTGTTATAAAATTGTGGTTTGTTTCAGTATAGGAATGAAAGTTGGGAAAAGTAGAACAAAACAAACTACCATATTTTAAATAAAAAGCATAATCAGCACAGTGAAAAAAGGCATGGATACTGTATGTTATATACACTGTATAGGTGCAAGGAAGATCACTACTTTCCTCAAATCAGTTTAGTAGCCACTAGCTACTAAACTGACCTTAACATCTCTCTGATCACAGCCAGGTGGACTTGCAGTGCACTAGTACAAAATGAATGGGTTACTCCTCCACCCCAGCTGTGAAGGGAGCAGCATGAAATACACATCTTGGCCAGGCTTTTCAGTTCATCATATACATATTACTGAAGACAGGGTATCAAATTGCAAGATAATAGCCCTTTAAGCAATGTTTACAGATTTTGCTTTCTTTGAGCAGGGAGCACTAGAAACTTATTTGAGACTATACGAACTCTCTCGAAGTGTTACAGATACAATTGCAGGCCTGGTCCTAGTGAGCCTGAATATATCACGTTTTTGGGGTAATCATCAAATCACCACTGTCAGAAGACATTTAAATTTATTCAACAAATTATGGTCCCAAATAATATGTAAATCACTTAATTTAACAAACCACCAATTGGTCATTGACCGATTATTTTTGTTGAAGAGAATACTTTATTAATTTATCAACAACTAAGGTTTCTGGTAAGCCTTTCACCTCTTAATCTTTAATTACCAAAGTGAATTAGTTCAAGCCAGTCCTTGATTTTAAGTAGGTGGAGTTTTAAAAGGACCTATAAACGCTGCCAGACAGCAGCCCTTGAGGTCTGCAGCTGAGCTCATTTATACGAGACTAACTGGAATAGGGATGTCCAGACCAGCGCTGGAGACGTCTAGGCTAAGTGGCTGGAATTTAGTTTCTGTTTGTTGCAGAAAATTAGTTCTAGACTTTGACTGAAATACAATAGCATAGACCCTGTGCTGACCCCAAGCTTTTCTCTCCCCATCGGTGTGTCTGTGTCTCATGGAGAGCAAGCTGGGGTATGCAAAAAGAAATTCCTAATGCAAGAAATTGTATATGGCTAATAAAGATCTTATCTACCGACAATCTTATAATGCAGTAATCAATGCACAGGTAACTTACCAACCATCTCTAGAGTATTAACATCAATATTGCCTCCCACAACGCCTCCTTTAGAGTCCAGCTTGGACCTCCCTAAGCCAACAGACATGCTGATCTCTCGGTCTCTGTTGCTGCCAACTGACAGGCGACCCTGACTTTTCAGGCCACTGGTTGTCCACCTTTTAAACAAAGAAAATCAGTGACAATGCAGACTGTTCATTTTTAAAAATGACATTTAATTTACAAATTAAAATGACCGAATTACAAATACACACCTATATAAAACAGTAAACTGGCACTTTGTTGAAGCACTTACCAAAGCAAGAAACACAGGGGTGCCACTAAAGAGACTCATTTGTTAGGGAAAAACCTGTTAAACATTTTTAAGAGGATACCTCTCTCCTCCAGACATCTGATAGCTTATCAAACTCATTTCATCATACCTGAGATTAGACTGATAATTTTGTAGGCAGAACAGTTAAATGTCTGAGCAAGACACACAGACTGTACAGTACTGTACATACATATGTGCCAACCACAGCATTGCGAATTTGTTCTTGGGTTTACATTAAACCATAAAAATAACGAAAGAATTAAGAAATACTTTAACCGAACGATAAACCAGACGTCTACACAATCAAAAAATTGCACTGAGCATGAAACATAGCTGCATAGTCCCAATAAGTCCCAATTGCCCCCTGAAGCATCTGTAATAGAAATGGCCAGGAAATGCCATGACTTACGTGTTGTTCCCCATGACGTTGCTCATGTTCATTTGCACATTGAGCTGCTTGAGGTTAATGGCAAAGACAACCAGCGTCTCCCATGGAGAGCCTTGCTGGCACCCTGCTTTGTTGTTCTTGTTGAAGGAAGGTGTGGATGTCTTAGTGACGGAATCTGTCAAAAACACCGGCTTGTTTAGGTGCAACTGCCATTATATTTTTTATCCCCCCAGTGGATACAATTTTTTTGAGTTATTTGTACATTTGATTTGTATTGCTTAGGATTCCTTGAATCATCTTCTTTCTGATACTAAACAGAAAAACGTTGTGCAATACGCCTTCATCACTTGAGCCAAGACACCTAAATATAAACATATCATGAAATCTGCGCAAAGCTACAGCACATTTAGACTGGTGAACATCTACCCTTCCTCGCTGCCATGGCTTATAACAGAAAAGGCAGCAGCTTCTTTAATGACCAGCAGCATTTATCTACATTCAGACCCCGGGTCTCACTGTGGCGTACCTCTCCGAGGCACGGAGGAGTCTGAGATACTCCGCGATCGGGAGACGGCGGGAGACTTGAGGCTATGCGCGAGCCCTCCCCCTGGAGACATGGTGCTGCTGGCGGAGTGGTCCGCAAACACGTTCGGGGACTGGGGCCCGTGCTGGAAAGAGGTCGACTGGGTGGGCTGCTCCCATGTCCTCCAGTAGGCTTTACGGGTTGACTCGGGGGAAAGGTGCTGATTCATCCCCTCGACGGAATCTGGCGTGACGGGACCTGAGGCTATAATTTTTACCCCAAAAAAAGAAGAAAAAGAGATTTGTGACGCACCGACAGAGAATACGAATCCTCGTAGGAAAAACATTAATTTACTCTTTCATAATTATTGTTTAAGCCTCATTACTTTTGTGATATTCTTGACCCACTCCCCACGTCAACTGTATTCTCATAAATGTCAAAGGACATCCATTTCGTAGCTAAGCGGACTTAGTTCTAAATCAGCTGCATGTCAAAATCAAGTAAAAGAAAATGAAGTGAATGCACAAGTTTATATTAAAGGGGAATTTAGATAGGACAGAGAATAGGAAAATCTTCCTTAAATAAAAGTTTGCTTCTGAAAGACACCTCAGTCAAGGGACAAGACTCTGAGCTCCTTCAAGAAATTATGTCTTGTAAGGTAGGAAGACTGGTCAGAAAAACACTGGTACGTTCTCAAGCTTTGGGTGTTGCCAGCAAACTATAGATATGTGAGCATGTGTTGTCATTCTGAGGGGTAGATATTCAATCTTTGTCACTTTTGGAAAACGGTCCTTAACCCCACAAAAAACACCCATCAATTAGGCTTCCAAACCTCATCTTTTAGAGATATCCAATGACAAAGATAGTAACAGTTTTAAGAGGAGAATGAAGCACTTTGATCAGAGCTTTATATTTTTAGGGTCTTCTGTTCAAAGTCACTGTGAATAAAAGTTACCCCATGTTTTTCAAGTTGTTCACTACTCCCAAGTGAACCTTATTGCTTATGCATGCATACAAAATATTTTTTGCAGGGTCATGCACTTGTACGTACACACTGCTGTATGCGGGACTTGTACTTTTCACAAAGTCAGAACGGTAAAGCTTCTCAATGGATTATATTTGTAATACCTACTAAACGGAAACAAACCATTTGAGCCTTGTTACAGCTACTCAGACAAACATCAGAGCACAAAAAGTTTCCATTTAGTTTCCCAAGTATCCTACGAGAAAACTATTACTGTTCTAAAGGGAACTGAACGGCACTTGAAGAGGTACAAACTGTAGAAAGTGGTTTGAGACCCAGACGATCCCCGCAGTTTGCCTACCTGGCAGGTTTATAGTTTGATCCCCCAGGAAGAGGCGCCTGGCAATGCTCCTTCTGTACCAGGCCCGGGGAAAGGCCAGGATCTCACTTAGCCTCCTCATGTCGTACTTGAAGGAAGCTGATCCTATATCGCACACAGCTGTGGAAAACCAACACGGTTTCAACTGCAATGTCTTTGTTTTTCTTCCCCCCACAGTTTCACCATTCTATCCAGTTGAACCCAAGTAAGGGGAGCAATATTAACAGGACTATAGCAATTCAGTTGAAGGTGGAAAGTTTCAGCAAACTACAAGTGAAATGCGCATGTTCACTTATTTATTAAATGGATTTAACAGTTTTGTTAAACTACACTTGTCAGGGACACTTCCTCTTCTACGTTATCCTTCACCCAGTAAAGAAATGTTAAATTGAAATAGGTTAACTATGTTAAATTACAGGCTATAAATCCTCATCTGAAACAAACACCAGGGTTTAATAGCACAGTAAATAAGCAGTTCCTAAAGGGGTGTGTTTTGTAGCAAAGGCAGAACCTGAGATGTTAATCAGGGTGGTGTCCATCTTGCCCCCTTTCCCTGGCAGGCAGCTTTCAATGAACAAGGCCCCTCCGGAGCGCCGCATCCTGGACAGGCTCACTTTCACAAACTCCAGGTTGATGCTCAAGGAGTCCTTGCGTCCCGTCACGGAGGACGGCTCCTCGTCCACGGTACCTGCACCGAACGGGAAACAACAACCTTCAGGGGTGGTGGTGGGGGGAATCTGTTTGACAGTAATCTGATACAGCAACACAACAAAGAACACAAAACTGATCAGAGAAATGCAGAGCTTTTGGCAAGCCTCGTGTCAAGGATGTCAGATTTAAGAGAAAATGGCACAAACATACTTCATCAGAGGTGATTCGGGGCCTGGTCACTCATTTTCTTTGCAGCCACACTTCCCTCTATCAGTTGGACCACAATCCAGCTGCTCCTTTTTCCCTGCCCCCCCCTCATTCGGCTGGTAAAGGTCCCAGGTCTACTACCTCCCCCCTTGATCACCGATTCAACGATCTTTATCCCCTCTTCTCCGACAGCGCCGCTTTTTAGCACGGATAATAGATATAAGGTGTTTATATGTTGTTTCTTGCTTGAAGACTCTAAATACTGGTATTGCATTAGATGGTGTGTTAATTTAGTCAATGGAATTATGATGACAATGTTCGTCAACGACCTTTTTTCCATTTTTGTTAGTAAAGACGAAACGAAAATAATCCACAATGACGATGACCAAGACTAAATTAAGTGAATTAAGTGAAATGACCTGCTTGACAAAAAATCATACTGAAAAAAGCACAGACCTGTTACTTTGTTAGTGTGATACTAGCACAACGTCATTAGCATTTACTCTACTCTTAGACTATGGGACTTTTTAACAGAAACATAGCGTCAAAAAGACTAGTTATTAATAATATTATACTATTGAGTTAAAGAATGCATATATTACTTGTCCTGTCTGATTTAAATATTTTTTTAACACTACATGGAAAAATAAAATTATACTGTATATAAGATAATTTGTTTTTAACCCTTTATTGCATTTGATACATGGCCTTTCTGGGGATCGATTCACTTAAGACTCGTGCTTTTTAACAGAATCTTATCAGGATGTGTTCAGAATTTTCATAGAAAGACATTTCATTATACTTTTATACATTTTATTTGACAAAATAGAAAGCGTTCTAGACCTAGACCTTGATCTTCTTGATGATGAAGACCATAGTAGAAATAGCACTGATCTTAGAGATTTCTTACTGATCTTTTACTGTAATTTTTCAAACATTTCTCTCCCTTCCACTTCCAAGGGTGTTCTGCTTCTGCAATAAGTTTGCTTTAATACCTACTGGCAGTCAAGGTAATCTTCAGAAGCTTTTATAAACCCGAGGCTTTGTGACCCTACCAGGTGACTAACACACATCAGACCGATTGACTGCATTTTCAGTCCCCTTTTCATAGTTTTATCACATTTTAATTTCTAAATGTTAAAAAGTCCTGATGTGCACTTGCATTTCAGTTCCTAAATTATAATTCTACTTCCATCTCATTAAAGATACTGTATATACACACAAATTCGGGGGCAGCTGTACTTTTAAGTATAAAACTGCAGGTTATGTTACATTTTCTGTCCTCTTCCTCCCCTCAGGATGCATAAGGCTTCCAGTTTCCACCGATCCTAATTAAGTACAAATTCACTGTAAACAGAGAAAGCATAGTTTCCATAGTAATGATACCAGAGACTTTCTAACAGCTCTGGATGCGTGTTGATCTTTCTGAATAAGACAAGCCGCAAAACTGATTTAGCATTATAACTTGATTTCTGGTACATCTATAATTTAGCCAATTAAATGACTTTAAATGTAATTATTCCTTTTAATAGATGCCTAAACATTTCATTCTGGACATTTATGGCAAACAAAGTGGTCATGGCTGTTCATTACCCAGTGGTCCCGAGCCAGGGGGAAGACCTGCGACAGCCGACTTCTGCTTGCCAGCTCCATATGGATGGAAGACGTACAGAGAGAAGTCGGACATGCAGGCTGTGAAGCTGAGCCCCGACGAGCTGGTGCAGGAGCTGGTCAAATCTGACTGGCTGCTGCTGTGCCGAGTCCGGCCAAGAGGACTCCCCAGACCTGGTGATGGGCCTGCAAGCATAGACCGCAGAATAAGCAGCTGGCCAATACAAAGTTAAGTCAAGACTAACCTTGATACAATTATTAAGCCAGCAGGATATTAACTTGAAGACATTTTTCAAGTCTCTTTGACAGACTCTATGATCGGGACAGAACTGCAGATGTGCCCCATTGCAGGACCCGAGAGGCTCAAATTAAGCCCTTTGGCATCTTCAACAGGATATTGGCATGCAGGATTGTGACAGCAGGAAATTTAGAAGTCTTGTGTTTCAGTTCTAAATCTGCTACCATCAAGACGACAAAGAACAGTGAGATTCACCAAGTTGCCACCATCACTGTATTTATGGAAGAGCAATTATCCAAAGGGCCCCGGTCATAAATCTAGTAGACATCTTTATTGAAACATCCCGTCTTCCCCAAGTTTCCCCATAAACTAACGGAAAGAGATACAGGTAAACAAACCATTTTGTGACAGTACTCCAGGAATATAAAATTGCACGTGCCTGTTCATCAGCTGAAGAGCGGCTTCTTGTTTTTAAAGTCATCAAGCACATTTAGCATTTCATTTCACACAAACAGCTAAATTTAGGATAAAAAACGCCTGAGGAAAAAGCCACGCAGGTAGCTGTGTTCCTACCACACCATGGGTCCGGTGGACATACCCTTACTAGCGACGGGCTTCAGCACGCTGTGAGCGAGGGGCGACACGGAGGAGGCCTGGTGCAGGCCGTCTGCAGGGTGTGCGGACGCGGGGGTCTCCAGCTCACCGCGGTTCGAGGAGAACACCAGGTCCAGCGAGGGCAGCTTGAGCATGCACTCCACTCTGGACATGGGCAGGCAGCTGAACTTAATCTGAGAGGGCTAGAAACAAGACCCAACATGTCATCACAGGCGCAGTCTGCTCAGACAGGAAAAGCCTTTTCTCTAACAGTCTCTCGGCTGTAATGAACAAGGAAAAGTGACGTGACCAGTGTCACGCTTAATGCTCTTTGCAGACTATGAAGTTTGTCTATTATAATTATTGCCTCAAATGGATACAGAACCAAATACTGACGTTACACTCTGAAATGGATAAAGTGAATATAGGCCTAGAATTTATGGTGACTTGAAATCACTGGGTTGAACACAATGTTTTTTTTCCTAATATTTTTCAAAAAGAGTAGGGGTGTAACCCCGGTGTCCTGACCAAATTTCCCATTGGCCCTTACCAATCATGGCCTCCTAATAATCCCCATCTATGAATTGGCTACATTACTCTGCTCTCCTCCCCACTGATAGCTGATGTGTGGTGAGCGTTCTGGGGCACTATGGCTGCCGTCGCATCATCCAGGTGGGGCTGCACATTGGTGGTGGTGGAGGGGATCCCCATTACCTGTAAAGCGCTTTGAGTGGAGTGTCCAGAAAAGCGCTATATAAGTGTAAGGAATTATTATTATTATTATTAATATGATAAAATGTATGCATGGAATTACCCAAAAATAAAACGGATATTCTATTGCATCATATCGTATAAATCCCCCAATGACAAACACAAAATGAATAAAATGTTGTTTCGGCTACTGCAATACACTTGGAGGGTACCGTATCTGCTTATTGTAAGCATACAGATGTAGATTTTATTATGAAATGGACCACATATTACAGAAACACCTATTACTTTTACCACTTTTATTTACACTAAATACGATAAATTCATAGGATTTTTCTCTAAGCCTCAATAGCCATTATAAGTGAGAACAAATGTTAGAATGGTAATCGAATGAGTGCCCCCTTATACAGCAGGGCCTTTACACTAGAGCAATGCAAGGGGAGTACCTTAATCAAAGGTACAGCAGCAGTTCCCAACAGGGACTTCCAACACTTCCAATGCATGGACCTAATAACCTCTGTGCACTCTGTGAAGTGGACCTGCTTGGTTTGATTTACTGCTGTCTTATACGTATACTTTGACACACTGGGAACACAGACTTACATGCATAACTCCCAGCAACAGCAGGCTGGCAGCTTACCAAGATTAAAAACTATTGATTGCTTCTATGCTCATATGTGCAAGTGTAATCACGAAAGAAATATAGAGAACAACAGTTCATAAAACCAACAACCCACAGAGAGTCAAGTAGTGTAAAACAGTCCGTGACTGCTGCATAACTCAACAGTCAAACCATTCGGAAATCATTCATTTTCTGGTAAATCATATTTTAAAGCCCCTAGAAAATCTATTCAGCTTCGAAAAAATAAAATTGCCAGGATGAACATAAACCATTTTCAATCACTTGCATGGAGAAAATGGTGATGGCTTCACAAATTCACAATCCAATGTGGCCGGATACTTGGAGGGACGTCATTCGAAAGCGCTGGCCAGTACTACTGGGATAACACACGGTAAAGCAGAGCAGCTGCAGGAGAGTCGGGGTGAAGAAGGCTGCGCTACCTGCACTCTGACGTACACCACCACGTCCACAGGGAAGGAGGAGTAGGCAGACGTGGAGGACGACACCAGCGAGGTGGTCGACTCCTCCAGCGTGTCCACCGGCTCGAACTGGCCCATGTCTTCTTCCTGCGAGCTGATTGCTGTCAGGGACACGGCGTGGTAACAGGTCAGGAGAGGGCAGCCGCTCACAGAGCCACAAACAGCCCCAAGGCATAAAAAAAACAGCTTCACCATAAACCCTTCTCTGACACGCTATCCATCTCTGAACTGAGGCTGTTGGTGCAATGTACTAGCTAAGCTTGCTATAGAAAGATAATTATTTCTCTTATTTCAACTCACAACTGGCAACCCACTGAAGCTCAGCAGGTGTGAGCCTGGTCAGAACTTGAATGGGAGACCTCCTGAGGAAGCTAAGGTTGCTGCTGGAAGAGGTGTTAGTGGGACCAGTAGGGGGTGCTCACCTTGCAGTCTGTGTGGGTCCTAATGCCCCAGTATAGTGATGTGGATAGTATATTGTAAAAAAGGTGACGTCCTTCGAATGAGACACAAAACCAAGGTCATCTCAGTTATTAAGTTATTATCTCAGGGCGTTTCTCGAAAATGTAGGAGGTGTTACCCTGGTGTTCATGGCCTTCTAAATCCCCCTCTATGAATTGGCGTCATCACTCTGTTCTTCTTCCCACTGACAGCTCATGTGTGGTGAGCGCACTGGTGCACTTTGGCTGCCATCACATCATCCAGGTGGGGGCTACACACTGGTGGTGATGGAGGGGTGTCCCCATTACCTGTAAGGTGCTTTGAGTGGAGATTCCAGAAAAGCACTGTACAGGTCTAAGGATTTATTTTATTATATAAGCTATAAATTCCACCATGTGTGATTAACCGCATGGCCTTCAACAACACAGTTTTCTTACACCCTTCAAGCTCAACATCCTGTGGAAGTCCTACAGCACACCCATGCAGAGCACACATACCCGTGTAGTTCCTGTCGACAGGCGTGATCGGTATGGTTTCCAGTGCCTTCTCTAGGAAATCCAAGAGACAGGGGCTGATGACCATCTCTTCTGGCAGTGTCTGCAGTGCCACCCACGCATACAGCTTAGCAGTCTTCATCGCTCCACTTCCTTTTCCTTTGGCTGTGACAAAGGGAGAAGGCACAGGCTCCTGTTAATCATTTCTGCATTTTCGTTCCAACACAGTTTTTAGAAATGTTAAAAGCATGCCAGTGACCTTGATTTGAATGAATATATTAGTGCCACAAGTTACAAAAAGTAATTCTTCACTGTACGAGTTAGTCGAGAAGTCTACCAGTTTCTCTTCCAGAAACTCTAGTAGATTCTGTTAGTGTTGAATGAATCTTGGTCATTATTGTTAACATTTAGATCTAAGATCTTTCATTTATACCTAAAATGTGCATTTTTATTCTAAATGAGTGGAGAAATTAAATATTTCTGGGATGGCAGTCCAACCTTGTATTAGTGCTTAACACAGACATACCATTTTAAAAAGTATAACCCAACACTGCAACTTACATTTCTTAATTCAAACCTAAAGTGCCAACTTCCTACATCCATAGCAAGGTCAACTCAAATGATTTAAGTGGCATGAAGTAAGCAGATATGAGAAAAAAACAGGGTTTCAGTGGCATGCATGTATGATGATTGTTACCAGTACCTGATGGGACAGGTGGGGGTGGGGGAGGAAGGAGCATATTAGTCTTGCTTTGGGCTGTAGTGGGAGGAGGGGCAGTGCTGCTATCTTTCATACCATACAGCTTGGACTCTTTAGACAACGTTCTTGGCAGAGAGGATCCTTTGGAGGCATTAGGCGATTCCGTCTTGAGGGTCTTTGAATTGTAGTGCAACTGTAGTCAAGAAAAATGAAACTTTTACAAACACAAATGGAGGCAAAACTAACTAATGTTCACATGATTTCAAAGTTAATAATGAGATACAGTAGCTGCCTCTGCACAGACCTAAGAATAAGACTCGTAGTTCCACCAGCAGATAAAAGTGCACTTAATACCAGAAATAATGCTCAGAGGCACTTACAGCACTGGGTCAGAGATTCAGAACCCACTAAGATAGGGGGCTATCCAGTGCATTGACGAACCCTCAAAGAACAGCTCTTGTGCTGTGTCACCCAACCTAATTCAACCAGGAATTTAAAATGTATTGAAATATTTGGGGATTTTGTGAAATCTCTAGTTTCGCTTTATCACTGTAACATTTACAATAGCCCCCAGATGTATTTATACCCTTAACACAGTATACTGGAAGTGAAAGTTGGTTTTAGCAAGAGAAGTGTACAACGAAACATAAAACAGGACAAATTGTGAGAGACCGTGTCTGCAGAGCATTTCTCATCAAAACAATTAAATATATTTCAAAATATAATGAAGAAGTCCTGAAAAAAGACAACGTTAGCACAAACAACTTTCCCAGGTAAGACTATTGTACTGCAGTGAAAAATTCTCCCAGCAGAGCACCTGCACCCTGGGACATTCCAAGACTTCAGAAATTACTAACAAGGGTCAGGCTCCAGTTCACAAGAGCCACAGTCCTGCAAGCTGTACTAGCTCTTTTCGATTAGCAACTGATCAAGATCTGATTTCTCATCCAAATAATTAGTATCATCAAGCAATCAAGATCACATGAGGAATAAAAAACTGGAGAATCCCTTGAGGAATAACAATGCACATCCTTGATCCAGAACAGGAGTGGCCACCCATGTTCCCGGAGAGCTACAACCCAATAGGTGTTATGGGTCACCCCTTAAATCTCTAATTTCTGAACACTTGGAAAGCCTGCTTCGATCAATTTAATTGATTCGGTCTCTGCCAGAAACAGAAAATTACCTTGACATCTACACCAGGAATGTAAAACACAGTGGTCTCAAAGTCACTGGGTTTGGTCTGCAGAGAAGATGGCACTTTCTTCCCAGCCAGCAAGTGCGTCGTGGATGTGTAAGCTGGCTGAAGTTTCTTCTTCTTCGGGGGAGACTCCTGATCTAAGCTTCTTGAACTACGGTCACAGTTCCTGGAAAGGAAGAGAAAGAAAGGCAAAATAAGACTCGGACAAAAAGAGAATGAAAGTGAAGGCAGTATTTGAAATAGGTCTTGTTGGTCCACTACTACACAGTTTATGTCTGAAAAAGGAACTCTCCAAGGCATGGGTTTCCAATCTCTTTACTTATGAAATCCTTGAACTAACAAGTAAAAGTTAGAGATCTTAATTATTCTGTTTTATAAGTAATTTAAAGGGCAAATTCCAACATATTTAGGAATTGGAAACAACATTCAATTTGATCCTATTAATTTAATAGGTCAATAAAGGGTTTAGTTAACAGAGCTAAGCTGGTACAAAACCCAGCAAGGGAGGGGAAAATTTCCTACAACCAAACGCCACCACACATTCACATACAGTAAGTTAAATATCTGCACCAATCCAGGACCTGGAATCAAGCAGTCAGGAAGTGGTAGCCACTACTACAATAAATGCAGAAAAGAGAAGTGGTGGTTGGTGGAGACCCCATTCTCTGGAGCAGTGCAACTGAGATTTGCATCTGGCACTAAGATAACAGTAGCTGACAGTGGCTGATAGTGTTCATAGTCAACGGTATCCCAAGTAAAGGAAGGCGAAGACCCAGTTGTTCTTATCTGTCGGGACAAAGATCAGCCTAAATAGCACACTTTTCATCTGTAACAAATTCAAACACCTTACAAACAGAACAATTAATGTGACATTAGTTTAGATACACTGCTCCAGAGACAGGACAGATAAAAAAGGGGGAACCTTTTAAAGATGATTCAGGCTGAGGAAATACACCTAGAAAAATCAAGAGATGCAGCATCTACACAGGCCAGACGGGTACAAAACTACAGTGATAGGAATATTCAAATGCAGACGTAATTGTAATTCAACAATAAATGACATGTTTAAAAAAAGTTGCCATTATGGGAGACTTCAACTTTCCCCACTTAGACTGGGAAATAACTTACAGAAATTAGCAGCAGAAACCTACAGTAAATGGGAAACATGGTTAATAACTGCATTTTTATCTAGTTTGTCTACAAAAGGAAATGTTTGTGTTGATTTATATAACCAAGACAGAAGGAGGCAAAAAGAAGTCAGAGAACCATTAGGGAACTGTGATTATAATAAGATGTGCTTTGAATATGTATTCATTCAATCAGGTTCAACTCAAAAGTGTACAATTTCAGGAAAGCAGAATTTAAAGGAATAATACATGGCTTAAGATAATTAAAATGGATAGATACTGATTCTGCAGAAAATGGATGGCAACAATTTACACCGATTATGCGTGAAGAACAGAGCTCCATTTGTAGTAACAGATGGCAGTGTGAGTATATGGTGTTACATTGATCACATCCTGATGTGAAAACATTCCAGCAGGACAATGCTGTTTGTGTAACAAGCTTTCATGAAAGATACCAATATTCCTTGGATACCCTACTAAATAAACTTTAAAACCCTCACAGATGAGCTGGAACAATGCGTAGCATCAAGGGCCAGGAAACAGAAACAGGATCCCACAAAGAAAATCTCCAACCTACTGCATAGCATGCACCGCAGAGCTTGTATTAATCCCAGCGGTGGTCACACAAACTACTAGCATGAGATTTCCACAGTAGATCCACACTTGATTAACCCCATGGATGACAAAATCTACATAAAGAACTTACTTTGTATGTGAGTTCAACAAAATATTGATACATCTGCTATAATAAGACTCATTTGCCTAGCTTCCTTTGACAATCAATCACAAGCAATTAACAGCATGCAGCAATTTAACATGTCATTTTAAATCAAATTAGAAATACCTGTTATATGTAAATCAGCAAGACAGCAAAAAAAATCGTGTATGTCTTGCCAATAGAAGTTTTAGCTTTTAATATTGCTCCACGACGAAGTACTTTTTTACGACCAGTGTAAAAGCTATCAGCTGTGAATTTCCTACAGTATGTCGCCTTAAAAGCTACCAAAGACCTGGGAGAGATGATGACTATTTCCTTCCTTACCTCTTTAAACATATGTCATCATGGTCAGGCTGCTGAGTAGTTGGATGCAGAACACACTTGCCACTGTCTATCTCAACCCGCACATCCAGCTCAAAATCAATGTTCCTCTCAGTGGTGGAGCTCATGATGCTTCTGTTAGCAGGTGTCCCTGGCCAGCGCTCCGAGAACAGCTGGCTAACAGCAGCAAATCCTGAGGACTTCTTGCGGTTTGTTTGTCTGTAAGCAGTTTAACAGAATTATCTGTGCAAAGTTCACTGAACAGGAAAATTAAGTTCCACATAGTGACCATTACCAAGTATTTCATGCATTTAAAGCATATGAAGGTGGACTCAAGGTGTAAAATTGAATGCATCTGGAAATGTGTGTAACAGAATTTTAGCAAAATGTTTCAGACGTGTTCTGGATCACTGGCAGTTTAGTCAGATTTTTTAGATGTGTACCTTTACCTATTCTTCCTGCACCGTTCTATCCCAATGCAGTTGCCCAGTATTATCCTTCATGGTAATAATTCAGGTTTTCCTTAAATAAAAATAAAATGTCTCTTGAAAGCACTAGGTGACTGCTGTACTGCTACTACTGCAACATTACTACTTTAATGTTTTAAAATGACTGAATTCCAGGCTTCTGTCTTTCCTTTGTCATTTACATTTTTATACCAAATCTGGGTGTCTTCTGCAGGTAGGCAGTGTCAAATGCATGCACAGTACAACGATAGGGTAGCTGATCCTCATTATTAAAAGACATTTTTAAATTACTCAGAAGCTGATGCAATTTATTCGCAATGAATTTTCAATGTCAGCTGGGTCTGTAGTTAGAATTTTACCCAGATAATACATTTCAGAGGTAATCACCCCTAGTTCCATTGTAAATTTCCATTGGAATTGGTTTATTGCATTATATATTCAAAAATCATGGAAGGTAAAAGGATATATCAATGGTTCCTTGTGAACATGTTACATTTTTTCATTCATTTCACAGCCATTGTTGATGGTGCAAGCCACTGTTCTAGGATGTGGTGAGAGTTATTCATGAGCCACTGAGAAGACAGACAAACAGCGCTCACATTGTCCTCCTGTAGAAGGGCTGCCTCTCCTTCTCAAACTCCTCATCTTTGTCAGACTCTTCGCTGGAGGACAAGGAGCTGTCTTCTCGCCTGCTTTCCTCGGGCTGGAAGGGAATGCTTGGTGAGAAGACTACGGGGGTGTTGGGTGTACTGAACACTGAGTGTGATCCGTCACTAACAGATGGGAAATGAGGTGGCTCGTCAATGGTGTTTGACAACAGGTCCACTTCTGTCTCCTCCGGAAACTGATTGATGCATGAAAAAATTCAAAATTCATAGTTACACAGCAGTCAAGTGACTGCAGATCATATCACATATTTCCCTGAAGCAGATATCAGCCAGTGAGGTAACTAAACCACTTGTTCGGTAAATAAGTCACATATCCTTTTCAAATTCCACAAAATTCTCACGTACAAATAATAATTCCATACATTTAGATACTATAGCACTTTTTTTTAGATACTTCATTCAAAAGTACTTTTACAAATATTGGGGACTCCCCTCCACCACTCCCAATGTGCAGCACCGACCTGGATAATGCGACGACAGCCATAGTGCCCCAGATCGTTCACCACACATCAGCTGTCAGTGGGGAAGGGAACAGAGTGATGAAGCCAATTCATAGATGGAGGTCATGACTGGCAAAGGCCAATGGGAAATTTGGCCAGGATGCCGGGGTAACACTCCTACTCTTTTTGAGAAACGCCCTGGGATTTTTAATGACCACAGAGACTTAGGACCTTGGTTTTTCGTCTCATCTGAAGGACAGTGCCTTTGTTTACAGTATAATGTCCCTGTCACTATTGGGACATTAGGACCCACAAAAACCACAGGGGAAGTGCCCCCTGCTGGGCCAACTAACACCTCTTCCAGCAGCAACCTTAATTTTCCCCAGGTCATCTCATATCCAGTTACTGACCAGGCTCACACCTGCTTGGCTTCAGTGGGTAGCCAGTTACGAGTTGCAGGGTGATATGGCTGCTGTACAAACACACTAAATGACATGACCACAACAGCTGACATGATCATTTAACTATCCCTGGACTAGTAGTTCAGTCCAATTACTGCATATGGTTTGGCTGATATCTGCTAAAATAGTGTCTGGGCAAAAAACTGTTTTTCAGCAGGGCTCAATGCTCATGCACTTTTCTTTAAGCAGACAGAAGTGTTCAAAGAATGAATGAGGAGTGATAGAACAGAAACCCACACAAAGGCAAGACTGAGATAAAGAAAAATCATTATCTTACTTGCAATGCCCTGGAAAAATCTACTTATACTGTAGTTTTAAGCAATCTGTCGATAGGACATTTCCCAATATGAGGCATATGATTTATTAAAAAGCTGATGTAACCATTCTCATTTTTAGTTCAACAGTAAATCAAATTTTCCTCCTTAATACCATTGATATATTAAACATGTCAAATTTACTACAAGAAAATTAAATCGGTGCAAAATAACAGCCTCAGTGCACACCACCTGATGCACCACCACCATCTGATTTGCAACTATTGAAAGATCAAGAGAACAACAAAAGGAATTCCCACAACCTGGTTGACACTGGAGGCAATCAGATGTGAATCAGAATTAAAAAAAACTGAGAAAGACTAACATGCAAATTCAAAATAAGAATACTGTAAGAGTATGCAGAACTCTCACACTGGGGAAGTTTATAATACTGGAATCTGCTGAGCCAGCACTCACACTTGAAATAATAATCACTCGTTTCCAGATTTACCACAGGGATTGCACTTTTTAAAAATTATTGTCCAAATTTTAATGATCTACACAAACTCCTGCCTCAAAAATATCATGGGGTCTTGCAGATAAGATTTGTTTTTTTATGATGTAAAAAAATGCTTTTGGGGACTCACAAACGAGAGCCCTACAATTCTGCAGGGGAGAAGGAGGAGACGCCTCCAAATCTGCCCACCTTCGAGAGTCCCCCCCTTTGAAAGCACAGCCCTGTATGGGAGGCACGGGGTCAACTGGAGGAGAGGCATGATCCTGCAAGCTCCCGGGAGGCCACGACGCCCACGATGTCACCAGGAGCCGAGACAGCCCTGGCCAGGCAATCCCAACTGTTCCCTTAGTATTAGTCGGACATTTCTGAACCGCCACTGGGGGGAGTCACAGTCACAGTCGGCTAGTGACGTGAGCCTTTCAAAGCCGTGGACGCCTGAGTGACATTGCTCAGTCTGCTCTACTGGTTGTGCCACTTGTGAAAACATTCCAGTTATCTTATTGCTAGGACTGAACTTCCGGTATACAGTCTTCCAAGTTCTAAAGGGTTTCATAGTGATTGATTGAGCTTGTCTGAGGGACTGATCCCTGCTTATTTCCTTATAAAAATGAAGGAAAAAAGCATGAACAGAATAATCACTATGCAGTAAAATGATATCTACAGCTTATTTCCTATTTAATATGAATACGTACAGTAAATGAAAGATGGTGATCTTGATTTATTAAAATATATAGGATTCATAATGTTCCTTTCTTTATTCTTCCTACATGATTATTAGAAAGTCGTTTTAGAAAGAAGAAATGGTGAGTGCATTAAGTAAAACTAATTCCTCCATCAACTGCACCACAATTTCTTTTTAAAATCTATGGTCCCACATGTGCTCTATAAAATATTACAAAAAGGTGTTTTGGGACCACACACACATGGCTTAAAGAAAACTATCACCTGGGCATTGAGCTCACAGAATCCAATAATCACATTCACAAGGGGGTATATTTCATTTTGATTGTGATTGCATAAAAGGTGTTTAACTGACTTATAAATCACATATAAAGAGCTATTAAAATAAAAATCAATACACTAACTACTTTAGAAGTTTGTAGATGCATAAAATAAATTTCAGGAAGTGTGGTAGGAAAGAATATCACTGGATTCCACAGATGTAGCTTACAGTCTGAGTTGAGTCTACACAGCTGTTTTGTCTATTAGAGTTGTCAAAAGAGTACTGGGGTGCATCTGTATATTTTTAAGTATTGAAGATTGATGTTTTATGTTATAAAACAATTACTCCATAAAACAATAAAAAAGTGCAATATAGCTTCATAAGCCTGTACTAATTTTCATTTTAGAGATCAAACAAAAAATAAATCTCTAGTTTGTTTTTATTTTAATCATATTTACCATTCTAGATTGAGAAATAAGGTTAAAATCACAGCTCAATGCATTAAAATGAACTTTTGGGTCACATATTAATATATTGTTTTTGTCTTTGTTTTTTTCTGCATACTCTTTTGTACTGAATTTGCATGTTCAGTTAAATTGGGTTCATCAATTAGGTATTGTGTGTTAGTTGGAAAGGAAAATTATTTTTCTTTCTTTTTGGCTTTACAAATACCTTAAAAGCTCTTTCTCCAGGACTGTCGGGATAGAAAACTGGGATATCTAACTTTAAAACAAACATTAGTACAATTAAGTCTAAAGAAACTGCAAAAAACTTAAAACAATACCTAAATTGATATTGCAATCCATTCCATTGCCACTTGAGTTATAATCAATCTGACATGCTGTTTTTGGAACTTAAATTTTGAGTAAGTTTTTCTTTTTAGTTCCAAAAAGGTATTTTTCACAAAATGCAGAACACCAAAAATAATGAAAAGATTACTCAAGTACCTCAAATAATTCTGCTGCTGACTGTAAACCTCGATTGCATTGTAACCGTCACAAACAAAAACAACAATGCACAATGATATAATGAAAAACAAAATGGATAAACCATAAGATCATAAGAATGTAAAATGAACTCGTTAAGCACACCCCACGGGACAGATTGCTTTTTCAGGGCACCTGACTTGGTCTAAAAGATCATTATGTAATGCCATATAACTAAGAAAGATCCATCCATCCATTTTCTAACTTCATCTAACTGCAGGGGAACCGGAGCCTATCCCAGCAAGCTACAGGCGCAAGACAGCACATACTCTCGATGGGACACTTTTCCACTGCAGCACACACACACCAGGGCCAATATAACATAGAAAGAAACATAAAAAATCAGCATTTAAAAGATGCATTGCTTTCTTTTGATTTGATATATTCAATACATTGAACAGATTTATTTAATGGCTGAACATTTCTTCAAAACGTGTCATATTCTTCAGCGCCACAGGTATCAAACATTATTACAGCACCCAGCCTGGACTGCTATATCAGCAAAGCCTCATCAAAGTACCAATGAAAGTACTTAGGCTCTGAATATAAATCAAAACCTCTGTTAACATTTCATTGATGACGGACTGGAATGATGGGCTACACATAATTGGTAATGAGTGTCGATATGGATTTAAATGAGAGTTCATTAGTTATTACACTGAGAGGGCTTTAAAAAAGCACTGTATGCTGTTTTGTACCATGTCCTGTATATTGAAGGTCACTCTAGGCCCCGGAGAGCAGGCATCCACTCGGATTTCTGGCAGCTCTTCTCCATCACCCAGCCTAGAGTTAAGGAACCAAAAGAGCCACTAATCAATATGTAATAAACAAATCAAATCAAGTCTTCACAATCAATCTTCTTTTTCCCCATGTTGTCATCACTGAATAGAATATTTAAAAAGGCAAAAAATATACTCAGAAACAATACTATTCCGAATATTCCGATCCTTAACTTAAGAATTACCAAGGAGGTACTAAAGTTAATAGATTCAGTTAATAAAAAAAAATCCTTACACAGAACTAGACATAAAAGCAGTCAACATCTATCATGCATTAAACTACTAGAAAAGATTACTTTGGAAATAAAGATAATTGTCTTTCAGAAAAAGCTGAGTTAATTTACAGTATAAAATGATAATAGGCTTCTTAATTCAAGCAGTTTGCAGAGAACACTCTTTTAAACTTTTGACAGACTTGCACTTATTACCTTGCCTTGTCCATCCTCTTCAAAGGAGGTCTCCCAGTAGCCGCTATGCTTTTTGACCGATTATAACTGGGTTTGTATCCAAGACCCCACTTGTCTTTTAAAGAAGCAGCCTATGGAAACAGACAGAAAGCTGTTTCAGTTTTATTTATTTAAAAACAATGGACCATTCCTATAGAACGCGTTTAAACAAGTCATTCATTGTGCGCTCTGCTCTCAAACAGGTCAGCCCACCCTCATGCTGGATCTCCTCAGCTTCTTGCGGACATCTCTTCGTATATCATTCACGGCAACAGACTCCAGCTGCTGGTACCTTTGAATTTCCTGGTTTATTGTGCCTTCGCTTGCACCTAGTTTTCTGCAAGACAAAATGGATTAAAATGATATGTTTTTAACGTTTAAGTTTTGTGTCAGGACCACAGTTTTGTGCGTTTCAAGAACTATTGTGTAGACTCAGAATTTTGAGAAGTCTAAGAATAGGCCTGTAGATACTGTTTTCAGAAGACAAATACCTCAAAAACTATAGTGGGACAAGCACAGGTCACTTTCAGTCTGAAAAGCAGAAAAAAAGAAAAATGACAATATTCTGACTGGAGAACCATCTTTATGCAAGGGTATGCCTCAGTTGTGTTTTTTAATTATGGAATTAACCTATACTAGCTCCTTTGTAGCTTGCATGGTGGCACAGCTACCTGTACCTACTTGAGCCTCTACAGTGGACAAGGTTAATGATTAATAGGTTTATTCCATGCTGAAAAAAAGAAGAAAAAGAACACAATGTTTCGGCCATGGAGCCTTCTTCAGGTGTGTACCCACCTGAAAGGTTAATGATGACTGCATAATAAGGATTTAACTCCTTTGCTATAGCAAACCTAAATTAGTACATACAACGTTGACAAGTCATCCAATTAGCTGAAAAGCCTCCTACACTGGTCTCTGTAAATTACCTCAATCAGGCAGTGAATTTTAATCAAAGATTCAAACACATAGACCAATGAGCTTTCAAAACAACTCAGGGATAAGTTGTAAAAAAGCACAGAGCAGGAGAAGTGTACAAAAATTCAAAGACTCTAAATATCCCATTGAACAAGGTGATTATTAAGAAATTGAACGTGTGTTGCATCATCCAGACACTGCCGAGATTAGGCTGTCTCGTCAAACTGAGTTGCTGTGACAGGATGAAACCTGTTCATTTGGCCTCATGGTGGTATGTCTAACATTAAAAAGAGCCACAGAATTCCATGGTTGCTAAGGGATAAGACGTCTGAAACTCAACAACATCCCAGTCACTCCAAAAAGGTAGCCTGTATGGCAGGGTGGCAGATCCATCTCAAATCCTATATGGTGTTTGCAAACAAGTTGTGGTCAGACCAAATTGAAATTTTTTAGCAAAAGCATTAGGCCTAGTACAAACCAAACACAGCACAAAGCCCTTTCTATACTATCATTATAGTCAAGCATAGGAGGGTTCTAGGTTTTTAATACTGACCAATGTCATTCCTCAATATTGACCAGGGAACATTTTTCTCTATGCATACTTTTTCCTGGCATACTTACTTCAGGTCATCAATCACTTTGGCTTGCTCATTCAGCTCCCTTATGTCCACCAAACGCTTAGTTATCTTCCTTCCCCGTCCATCGCTAACCTGGGTCCCGGCCACACCCTGACGGCGATGATCAACTGGTTCCTGCATACAATGCCAGACATAAGATATTAACAAGACAGAAGTCTGCATTTCAGTTATGTAGCCCACAATCACCCAAACATGCAAAAATCAGAAGTCACACTGAAAGCACAAGCACCCATTACCAAGCTACAGACTCTTCTTTGCTAATCTAGATTGGACATTTTTTAAATAAATGTAGAAATAACTTCCATCTACAACTTTTTATACTTGCACATGTACAGTAGCATTTGCAGGGTTGAGACTTAAAGATGCAAGATTTTCATTCACCGGTTTAATTACTGAAGTCTTTTCACAAATAAATCTGTTACTAAGATGTGTAGGAAAAATTGCCCATGACTTTTTCACCACCATGTGGAGCTTTTTGTTGAATGGAAGAAAGAGGGTAGTATAGTTTCAAATGCCACCTGACATATGTTTACCAAGTTTCATTGTTTCACATCTTTCAACGAGTACTGAGGTGGAAGAGGAAGAGACTGGTTTCTCATTGAAGAGATCTCTTTTAAAAAAATATTACTTATCTTGCGGTTTTGGGTCAGACTTAATATTGCTGATGTTAAAAAAAAGCAGATTTAGAAACAAAGGTGATTCAAAGGCAAAGACAGTGTCAGGGCAATGGGACTGGTTTTATTTTGCCTGAAGATCCTGGGGTTGATATTTCTCCATTATTTCACCAAAATTCTTGACTCATTGTTAATGTAATCTCTACCTATCCAGTATGCTCGGCTTCTGAGCGGTATAAATCCACTGACTCACACAGCTTTCTCCTTCACAGCTTCTTCTTTCCCAACAGGACTAAAAACTCTCTTCCTTTCCCACAGTTCTTTAATCGGATATGCAGTGGTGATACAGGCATCTGAAATCAAGCCCTTACAAATGCACTCTTTTTTTCACTGACGGGGTGAACCTGTTCACTGTATTGAAAGGGCCCCTCAACTGAGCCAAAAAACGGCCCTTATAAGCATATATCAGCATAACTAGGAATTTCCAGACCCAAATCCATATTCTACTTGTGCATCCCCAAAATTCCCAACAAACCCTGTATTCCCAAGATAAAAAAAAATCAGCTCCATTTTACTGAATGACCCCTAAAACTGAAACCTTTTTCCTCAGGCCTACCTGGTATCTCATACCACTCACAACCTGATCTGTGCAATCGTCTTATCTACAGTTCCCTCAACTTCCTATATCACACCTCAGGTTTCCCTTCGTTTGGGCACTCTTTCTCACCATCTCTATGCTCATTCCAATCTATTTGCCCTTAAGTTTCTTGACGTACAAATTTGAAATATTGGGTTTTTCTTCCTGCTTTTCAGTGTGGAATTAGCCTTTTTATTTGTTTTGTGATGCTCTATGAACTGAATGTAGGTTTTTCTTGTTTTGCCCTTGAGAAACCTTGGTTTGTTCACTGTTGTACCTATTTACATTTTTTGACATCTTATCAATTAATTTCTTAGTACATCATGTCTGTGCAAAATAAATGAACTAAAACTGTTCCAAAATTAGTTTTTAGCAGATCTACAAACTATACTGGTTTATTTGTTTTATCTTTTTTCACAAAGACACCTTGTCTGTCCCCAAGTGCTGTATTTCCTAAAATAACCACAATCCCAAAATCTTGTTTCGGAAGTGTAGAATTTTTTCAGCATTTGAAATTAGACACCCTCTAAAAGAAACACCTGAGGAAAGCCCATTTAATTGGACAGTGATTCCAGCCCTCACAGAAGAAAGTACAACTCAACAGCTACATACGCATCCCCAAGACAGAGGTCTGCGCTCTTTAGTGAAGGATCTTTTAGACAGGTGGCTGTCAGAAGATGTTGAAGCATTGAAAAAATCAGATGGATCAGAGGATCTCTGGATTTTAGGGCTCAGTCCAAGAAGGTGGTTTACGAGGCGCTCCTTTAATGTTAGCTTTGGGCAATCTCCCGAAACAGCAACTCCATCTACATTCTGAATGGCAAAAAAAAATGAGTGAGGCATGACCTTTTCACTTTCACCTTACAAAAACGTCATCACAGCTTGATGCAGCAAAGACACAGGCAGATAGACCCTGGAGAGTGTTATAATGATGTATAACACTTTAAAGGAGGCTGTGATCCACCCCTCACAGGAATTTCAATTGTTCACACTGTAAACTTTGTCAGTGGTTTGATTATTAATTATTATTATTATTATTATTATTAATACCAGTGTACTAGGAGTTTTATTACAAAATGGTGCTTTGTAATTTCATCCAGTCATCCAACCAAAGATTGGACAGGTCATACAACTAGATCAACTAAAGAGATAAAAAACAAAGAACACAAATGTACTGTAAAACAACTACAAGTAATGGACAGAAAATGGAAGCACCTGGTTAAATGAGGGACACCAAGTATATAGAAAGTAACATCCAAAAATGTGCATTGCCAGTACAAAGAGCATAGGAAATGGATGACCAAGCAGTGGAGAAATGTGATAGGGTCAGATGAATCATCCTTTACCATGTTCTTGAAGAAAGTGTGGAGCCAGCCTAAAGAACTCTAAAGCCCTGAGTGCTTAGCTTCAACAGTGAAGGCTCTGGTGGTACCATAATATCATTGAGGCATATTTTCTTAGTACGCTTTGGGTATACACATTCTCTCAGAAGGCAAGGTCAACACTAATTGCTATTAAATAATGCTGAATAGTTAATCTTTACCACCTGTTCCAGCATTTCTGTCCTGTCAGGTGGAGTGTCTTCCAGGATGACAATTACCCCATTCGCAGAATAGGTGTGGTCACCCCGTGGTTAGATGAGCATGACATGACTATTATCCACATGGCCTTCTCAGTCACCATATCTGAACCCAGCTGAGCATTTACGTAATATTTCTGTATGAAGCCCGACAGTTTCTACCTCCATCAACCAAATATGAGTTGACTTTCTCATGAAATAATGGTGCTGCGTTCCTCCCATTGAAATCCAGACTCTGCTAGGTTGTGCCATAGTGCATACAGGCTGTACTACCTGCATGGTGGCCCAACACCCTAGTATGTGACCTTACATTTACATTGAATTCCCCCCCCCCCAATTTCCCCAGATGCGCCTGGTTATTTCATTAGTGACAAGTATAAAATGGGACCTTAAGATCTACTTTATCATGCAACAAGTGGAAACTGTTAACATGTGAATATGACTCAGCACAGGCAACATGATCTGAAAGGGGAGCAAAGGGAGTAAAACTGAATGACATGCCGGCTGGTTCCAAGGAACCTGTCCCCGGGAAAGTAAAGCGTAAAGGCTGCTTTAGTTTGGGCAGTGTTCCTGAAAAAAGACTAACCATGTGAATGGTGGGAGACATTGTGTCTGGCTCATCCTCGTCAGACAGGTCCGCGATATTGATGGAATTGAGGTCAGCGATGTCATCCACGTCCTCTTCCCCCGTCAGAGAGGTCAAGGTGTTGCCAAGCGCGTTCAGCCTCTTGCCAATGTTAGGGTCCATATGCACATCAATCCCACACATCTTCCACAACACATTCAGTGTCCACGTCCCGGCACTGCTGCTCTCTGACACAGAAATGGACAAGTAAGACTCTGAAAAACAACTAACGAGGGATTAATCTGTCTCAATATAAAAATGCTCTTGTAAAATACTTGGGAAATTCTTACATGGTATAAAGTTCACAGAACTGTACGCAACTAAGGACTGCATATACAGCATTTTTATGCTCGAGTATACATCTTCTAGCAATTATTCTTCACCGAGAACCTTTACTTCCAATATCTATATTAAATTTGAATAGGAGCTTTTCTATATTTCTCATCCACATACTTAACAATACGTTTTAAATCTATTAACTAGAAATGCATCCATATAATTACCTGCTGAAGGCTGCCCTGTAGTTCTTGAGCATACTTCATATGTGCCATCTGGTACAACACCTGAAAACACACATAAAAAAACATTAAGAAACTTGCAAAACACATGAACGTTTCAATTCCTAGTGATAAATTAAACAATAAAAAACATATGAAAAAGTTTGTTTTTTAAAAGTCATTATAATGTTTTTTGTATGTTTGTGAGCTGTTATCTGTTTCTACATTTTACTATATTATGTTTAACATACAGTATTATAAAGTTGTTGCAGGTCTTCACTGTTGAAATGTCGAAAGCCGTCATTTTTATTGAAACATGCAGGTGAGATAAACAGGTCTTAAGCTGCCTCATTTCCTGAAATGACTCACAAGCATTCATGATGATATCTCCTCTCACTTCGGGCTTCCAGTCATCCCAGGAAGTTTCAAAGCCCTCTGCGAAGCGGATGCAGAAGTTTTTGAAGTGGCCTTTGCTGACCAGAGACTCTGATGAGCAGGCAGTGATGAGAGTGCTCTCAATGGTGAGCACCAGGGCTGAGCCCGTGTCAAAATCAATGGTGTGATTAGCCTGAGAGAAGGACAAACAAGCCCCGGTTAGCTGCCTGAATCACACACACATTGAGAGTAAATATATCACGCAAATGAAAAAAGTTTCTATCCTATAGAACAGACGGCCCCAACAGGATACACTTATGCCTTTGATATCCACTATATGCATTTTATAAGAAAATAAGGCATAGATCTGTAGTGCTTTATACTTCCTATAAGTTCTAAAAGCACAAATTAACAATATCTTACCCAATATGTCCACAATCAAAAACATAATATATCGTATCATTTTGTGTTAAAATAAGCTGTATACTAAAAGCATAACCTATAATAGAACATATACGTCTATTCGGTCAAACAGATTTAACTGTGGTTAAGATACTATGTATCTAGTTATTCTTTTACATTTTAACTAATACCTGTGGTGTTGGGTTGGTGATTGGCAAGCAGATTCCCAAGTCGTTCACAGTGAGCTGAAGGAAAAGAGTACTGAAAGCTTGTGCAGAGGTTTGCTGAATCCCAGGCAACTTATCCACCACCTCTTTAGTGGCCATGTGAATGTCTTTAGTCAGTGCCATGCGCTGCTCATTCCAGTTGTCATATGCCGCTTTATAGTTCAGCCAGAAAAGCACAGCTTCGAGGAGAATTAAAAAAAAAAACATCAAAACGAAAGGAAGAAAATTCGCTGTCCTGGAGAGTATTCAAATTATAATCAAAGCTGCGCTGTATTCATTAAATTACAGCAATGTTTTAATGACATTAATGATAGTGGTGTAGAAATCAAATATGCAATGTGATTATATTGAAATAACACTAATCAGACATATGGTGTACCAAAATCAAATTACACTTAACAACATTTCATTAAACTGAAGTCTTTTAAGATTTAAATAATTACAATAGGTAATACCTTAAATCTATTACAGGCAGCAGTGTTACCATACAGTCTGATCTCATTATATAATGTGATGGCTAATCAAGATTCTGGGCCTGGTAGTGTGATGGACATGTTCTAGTGGTGTTTGTGGACCAAATGGTAGCACTATTCCCTTCTTTACCAGTTTCCAAACAAATAACCCGGCTGACTAGAGACGCTGTGCTGTAGGAGATGTCACTCAGGTGCAGCCTTAATCCATCCAAATGAGCTACAGTAACTGCTTTGTTATTAAAGGTCAGTAGCACTTTCCAAAGTGAATGTGGGGTGTCCAGGCTAAGATCCATTCTGTGAATTCATTACTCCTTAAAGTTTCCTCTTAATATAAGTGGTGAAAGCATTTCCCACTTCTCCTCCCAATCGACTGATGAGCCTCTTGCACTGGCCGTCTGTTTTGGTTGATTGCACCGGTACATGGTGAAGTGCCGTTTAACAGGTATGGGAGAATTTTCTTCAAAAATGTTTCAAATCACGCTTCACAGATAAGGTGGTGAAATTAGGAGCATCAGCAGTTCCTTTTCAGTAATTTGACTAAGATTTATCTTGCTCTCAAAGATCCATAAACCTTGTTCCTAAATTTTCCTGGCTACGCTTGTGCTTCCATCTTTATTGATGTAATTAATGATGATCGCAGGAGAATGAACCTAAAGCTTACAGAAACATTTGCACTGCCTTACGTGGAAGAAAATGCTTGTATGTTTACTGGGCAGCACTTCACCATACACCTTGAAAAAGGTCAAAACATATGGCCAGTGTAACGTGCAGTATAGTGTAACAAGTAGTTTATCAGGGAAAAAAAAAAAGTCCATCTCTGTATTTAAATGCAATTGAGTATACAATTGCAAGGTGAAGAAAAAAAACTGAGGTAAAAAAAGAAGTGAAGTACACAACCTGAAGTCAAGAATAGACAAGACCTCAAAGTGTTTGCAGCAAAGCTTCCTGAATGATTACACAAAGAGAGTGGTTGATCTCTACAGGTCACAGACTTTATACACGTTCAAAAACTCAAAATTATTTGAAAAATCAAAAATACTTCAAATAAATCTGACCCAGTAGCTATGGTTACCTTAATACCACAGGGTTGAACGCAAAGCATGGTTTTGTTCTTCTGCAATCAAATCTATCATTGTACTTACTCAAAAATAAAATGTAAAAAAATATATATTTTTTCCTATTAATCTCATAATCACAAACAATTTGTTTTTGCGATTGTAAAGCAAAAACAACAGTTTTAACTCGGCTGTCCCAATACATGTGATGAATACCAAGGGTACAAGTAATTGTAAAACAACCTGGCTGATTTAATTCATGACACAGTATAGTATATTTTATTCATATACTAAACCGGCCAACTAAAGCTCCACTAGACAAAGGAAATTAAAAGCTACAATTACTAATAAACTCAAAATCTATTACAGTTTATTCACCTATGATTTCCAGAGGAGAAAACATTTCCAATATCATTAGACAGAAATGGAAGACTCACCCCTATCAAAAGCCACAGGCTGAGCAAATACAATCGGTCGGTTCAGCGTGATCAGCACGGCTTCCTTATCCGAAGATCCACTGATTTCTTCCTGAAGGGCGTTCCTCAGGCCTATCCGTGTTTTGAAATAGGCAACCTGGTGGAAATCTGATCCCGCCTCTTCATAAACCTTAAAAAAAAAAATGTCTTGCTTGAGACACTTTACACTGCAGCACTTAATGTTTCTTCCACATTAAGACAGCAGGAAGCAAGACCAGCGGTCAAAGTCTACTATTCAAGCAGGTAAATTAAGCTGAGAGCTATGTTTAGGTAGATATTAATAATTACACAAAACTAAACAAATTGATTATCATGGAAGAAATGATTAATTCACTTAAAGATATACTGTACAGTAGGTGTTGCACTACAGTATATCTTGATTTCCAATTGCTTTTTGAGTTTCATATTTATTTATTTTTAAAACAAGACTGACCTGATGCTTAACGATTTGTCCCAATGCCAGATTCAGGTCCACTTGGCATTTTCCAAACAGCTTGAGGTAGCTGCTGCCGCCAGGCTGGGCTTTGCACTGGATCCTGTTTGAGAGCTCCAGCTCAATTAGTCCAGTCTCAAACCTTACTGCTCTCATGGATGGGGTGGTAGCCGTAACCTGGATACCCTGGATTAAAAATAGATAATTATGCAACTGTACATAGGGATCTATTTTTTTCCCCAAATAGTCTTGGCTTCACTATAACCAAAAAGTTAATGGCTTTTCAAGGATATCTAAATATATGTGCTTCCACAAAATGTTTTTGCATTGCATCATTTTAGAAAGCAGATGAGTTAGACCTTTTCTTCACATAGAGTGAATGACATTTTTTAAACATATATCCGTACCTTAAACATAAGATTCAGTGAATACAACAGGATCTTGGGCTTATCTCCATCAGTAGAAATGTCATGTTCGTTCCACAGAGGTATAGGTTGTTCTCCCCCTGCAAGAACAGATACTTGTTACAACAGCCAGCAAAATTTTAATTAATGCTTCACTTTCAAGGGCAAGACTGAACAAATGACACTCGGTTTTCTCTACAGAGCATATCAGCCTGTGTACCAAGACCCCCTTAGTAGCAAGAGATCAGCAATATGGCACTCATATTATGGAACTGATGCCAGGACGAAACACATTACGCCAAGTTTGCCTAGGTGGCATGTCCAGAAAACAAAAGAGAACATGGCAAGAAGCTTAAAGATGCCCGATTCTAAAATGTAACATAGCAGCACCTCAAAAGAAATGTCCAACCTGAAACCTTCTGGATCACTTCGTTCACCTCCTTCATGAAGACCTTCTGGAGAAACACTAGGTGGTTCAATAGATCTGTGGTTAAGTTGTGCTCAAATGAGCCAATCTGTAGAGGGAAAAAGAAAAGTGGGTACAAAAAACACCGACATGGCAGGACTGCGGTGAGACATCTCTTCAGCGGAATGCGTTTATCACCTCGGCAACACAGCGCAGGTAGTCGCCCTGGAGGTAGTTTCCTTGTTTGGGTGGGAAATCGTCATGCCCGCCGAGCTGGTCCGAGTGGCTGTCGTGGTCCTCCATGATGTACTCCCCAGACATGGTGACCGGGGGCAGGTTCAGAGTGGCGGAAGGAGGCATCGTGGACACATCAACCGGCGGCACTTTGGACTGGAACCGTAGCTTGTGAGCAGGAAGCTCAAAGGTGAAACTGGTTTGTGCACCTTTTTGGAAAAAAAAAAGAAAAAATAGTTACAACAAGGCATCCCGCGCACACTGCTCAAAAACAAGTAATCTTTTCAAAAATCAAACCTGTCATCTCTATTAAAAACAATTCCCTCATGTGTATAGAGTGGACAGAAGAGAGGACATGATAAATTTTGCCCTTTGCTTAGAAATCCTTTAAACTTTGTTTGATAATTACATAACCTCAGTGGTAATTATGCTTTATTTAATAAAAAGGTTAATTCCTAGATCTTCATAAAAAAGACAGTAATGAAATGCATAGAGCAATTCAACAGCAGTTTTTTAAATAGAAAAGGCATAGTCTTTGTTAGATCTGACAAACAATCTTCTTTCAACAGATAATGCTTTAACCAGATACAAAAACACCGGGATCACACTACTTCTCCCCTATAACAACGTGATAAGAGAGATGTCTAAGGTGGTACTACAGTGGCTCTGAATGTAATAATGTGCAAAAAACAGAAATATTAGAAAATAAGAAGGAAAACAATTTTACAAATAAGTGAGTTATGAAGAATATAAGTCTTTGAGCATAAAATATCGATTTGAGATGGTGAGAGGAGGATAAGAGGTATCTGTGCAGGTACCAGTGAAGGGTACCGTGCTCCCAGTTACCTGTCATGCCATGACTCTTCATGCGGCCCATTTTGTACTCTGCTTTCAGAGACGGCAGCAGCGCAGCTCCGATGGTGATTCCATCCAGCATGGCGCTGAACTTGAGCACAATTGGCTTCTTCTCCAGCCCCTCGGGCAGCTGAGGAAACACGTTGGCTTCGACGGGAGTCTGATTGACGCTTGAGACCGTTTTCTCTGAAGGCTGGGGAGTTGGCACCTCCTCCCTGCTCGGCTGAGGCCTTAAAGACAGGCATTGATCCACAACACGTCACAGAAGCGATTCGCAACTTCTTTTATTACGCTAAGCATTATGAAATTACTTTCCAGTCATTCTTTTGAAATAAAATTCTGTCAAAAATCAGGAAATCAAGCTGTTTAGAATAGTCGAGGTCCATAGCTTCGTTATCCATTTCTAATTTTTTTAATTTGTTCTATGCACTGCTATGGATTCAAAATGTTATTTTAAACAAAATAACAGGAAACAACAAAAAAAATTAGATCTGATGCAGAGTCAAAGCTGTGGCTTTTACTACGCATTACCCTGCTGAGGATCCATACTTAGTTCGTTTGCAAGCCAACAACAAATCTGCAAGTTAATATGTACTGTATGCGGACCACACTGGCTCCAAATCCCATTTTAAAATTAGCCACTGTTCCTTACGCGGTAGATGGCTGGCGAATGAGGTCCGAGATCTGCTTGGACAGCTGGTGAGAGCTGCGGACCATCATGCTGTGCAGCGTGGCCGGGTGCTGGGGGATGTTGATAAAGATGGCGCCAACTCTGAAGACGGCAGCGTTGTTTGTTTTGAGTCCTCTCTGAGCGCTATAGAGCGCCTGGGATTTGGCAATGTTGCATTTTACTACAGTTCTGAAATGAACAACAAAAACTTAAAAGAATGCTCACAGTTCTTAGTCAGAAGTGTTTACAAAGAAGCAAGCGACTGACACTGCCCACAATATAATTAATATTAGCAGAGCACCATTAGAAACTGGATGCAAGCATCAATACGTCACCAAGCAAATGCTTCAGACAGTGTTGAGGAGAAAACAGTCACAAGTAAAAAAATAAAATAAAAATGCAAGTAAAAGAAACTACACATCTAAGCTTTCCCAAAACAGGTACTTAATGGATGCATTCACACAGCATGAATCCTCTCACATAAATCACACAATCATTTCAAGAAATGCACCATGGATTCGTTTCCATTGGACATCATTTAGAAATAGTGATATATTCCGAGTTAAAATGTGTATGATGGAAGGTGTTTTCTTTTTGTCAATTATTCACATAAAATTACCTGGGCTGTGTAACTGTATTTATATATAGATATATGCAAATATATGAGCTACTTATTGTGGCCATTTGCTCGATATTGTATAGAAAACCACTTCTTGATTTTTAAGCCAACACTGGGATTAAGCGGTACTTTCGTATGGAGCAAAATAAGCTACATCATTTGTATCTTTGCTTAAACTTTCTTCATACAGGTTTGCGTCATATTCTAATGGTGTGACTGTATGCCAGACTTCTCGGTAACCTTATTTCACTAGGTTCAATTCATTAAAATTATAATTAAAACTCTGAAATAATTAGAACTAAAACTCAGCCTGTTACGGTTATGACACAGTCTAGTGAAACAATTATTTAAGAATGCAGCTGTACTTGTAGCAGTTATAGAAAAGGTACAGAAACAGTAGTAATCAGCATTTCTGTGTCATTCCAATCGATAGTCCAAACAGGAAGGAGAATTTAGTATTTTTCAGTATTTTGAATAAAATGACAGCCACACAATCACTTTTTCATTTAAAGAAATCTGTCAATGTGCTTCTAATGGAAATATTCAAAATGGTTATTTTTCTTTAAACTAAAGTTCAGAATACTTGGGTTGCATAAAGTGCCAAATTTAAAGGAGCATCTAATTCCTTGCTCTTAACTCATAAATAACACATCCAAAATATTCACACTGCGTTCCTTGTGTTTGCACTGCATGTACTGTATATGTGTTTTTTTTCCTGCTAACACTGTCTTAACATTCTGTTAACATATTATTTATTTTAGAATATTTGTGAACCAATTTCACTGCCCAGCCCAATATTAACTTTTTTAAAGCACAAATATATGGTCATCAATTATGCTCATATACAATTATGTTCCATCATTGTTCTAGTGCAGTGTGGTTTCAAAGTTTAAAAATGCCCCTCTTGGTCTTTCAGAATAAATTTCAAGGGACATAATCTATGATGCAGTGCTTTACTAATTTATTTTGAAGACATTCAGAATTCCTTTTGTTTGTGTCAATGTTTAGTAAGGCACCATCTGTTGACGCTGTATAATAATCTTTTAAAAGACTACTGGGAACAAAACCATTTTGCTAATTATAATGCTGTGCTCTAATGCCCATCAAATAAATCCTATTTAGTCAGAAATGTAATACTGTCTTAAACACCAGACCTTCTGAAAACATAATTAGAAACAAGCAAACAAAAACAGAAACGAGAGTGGGGAAACAGTCTAATCTGCAGATGGCAGAAGCAACACAACAAATCTCTTAGACAGGCTAAATTTCAAGACTGAACTTCGTGGGAGAATAAAGGATGGCAGAAACTAGGAATTTTGAACTCCACTGTTGAGAACACATAGTTCTTAGAGCCTTGTGCTTTAATCAAACAGGAAAAAAAAGTTGATTTCATTATAGCCTCCTTTTGATTTTGACTCAAGTATCAAGGATGTGCCGAGAAACTTTATATACAGTATGAGTATCTGAAATTCAGTCAGCAGATTTCAAAATACAGGCTAATATAATTCAGTTTCTCCCAGAAAGCCCAATCCACTTAATCAGTTATTCAGCTTGCATTGCACTAATCATTAGCATTATTAACCAGTGACTGCTTTAGTGAAGCACACTAATTCAGACATTGACAGTCATACTATACACTACCATAGATCCACAGGGTTTCATATACTACTAAGACAAACATACACCAACAAACACAGTGGTACTGAACTTTGTACGAAATGCAAACTACACATCCAAGCTATTGTAGCATCACTATGATGTGAACCGCAAGCCCTGAATAATGCAAACATACAGAAACTCTTGTTTGGCAGTGCTTGTAGGAGATGTGGGGAAATCCTCCAGTCTATGCAAGAAGATTGAAGAGAGAGCCATAAAATAAAGAGAGAGCAAATAATGAATGAACATTCATGCACATATTTAATACCACAGCCCATAATATGCAGCTGCTTTCTCCTGCTTCTTTACTATGAAACCCTTCTGGACCAGTTTAATATATATTGTTATCAGGATCATCATTATTACGATGCAGAGAGCTACATATGTCAACGGTAAAAATCATTCATTCAAGAATCACAGGTAGGCACCTGAAACCCTATGTAAACAGCACAGATTAAGACTTCAGCATAAGGAAAGTCTTTTTTTTATTACTAATTACTGTAAGCCCTCATATTAAATGCTCTAGTGCATGGCTGTCCAATCCTGGTCCTGGAGGGCTGGCATGCCTACAGACTCTCTCGATCTCTCTAAAGTAGCGACACTTGAGGAGCTAGAAGAATTGCTTAATAACAAGGTTGGTCTTACTGAAAACAAAACAAGACGGAAAACCTGTACAAAACACCAGCACCAGAGGACAAGGACCGAATAGTCTTGGTTCAGTGTCATTTCTCCACTTTTAGAATATCTGTGCACTTGCAATAATAATACGTGATAATAAGGAATAATAATGCTTATTATTAGGGTTCTGTTGAGACTGACGTGCCTCAAAACGTAAACATGGCATCCAAATCTTTATAAGATACTTGTTTTAAGAAAGGATAAGGATAGTCCATCTTCTTTTAATTTTCACTACTTTCTATTTCAGGGACAAAGGAGGACAGTATGAAAGAGCCACAAGCAATATCATCCGAAGAGGAAGAAAAGGCAGGCATTATCCAGATAAAACCAACTTTTTCGGAGCTGTTACCTTCTGTGTTCTAGATTACTTAAAAGGGTTCTTACTGCAAGTTGTCACATGGCACACATATCAGGGGGTTAGACAATTGCAGGTCTTTGCCCATCCTTAGCACTGCAATTTACTTAAGGTAAAGAAAATAACGCCTCAGTTACTGTTAATATAGTAAGTTTAATACCCTCTAGGACATGTCCATCTTGTCAAATAAATCCTCGTGAGATCACTTTAGAGAAGGCTTCACTGGATTTTACGTTCTGACCACAAACCCCAGTGTATCATTTTGAACATAAATGTATGCTTCTGGACATTAAGGGATATACTGCACTAAATGGATTGTAAATGTGTGCACATGAAAAGCTCATTTTTTACTTTATTTCACCGTTTCAGGTTACAAACCCTTAAAAGCATAAATTAAACTAATAATGCAATTAGATCAAAAGGAAAAAACAAAACTACTAATTATAAACCAAAGTTGGTAAACCAATGTTCTTTGGAAAGAAATGTGGTAGACAAAATGCTGAGATAATTAAAAGGTTTCCAAATTGGAGGCTCATTATTTTTCAAAACACGCTTTTTAAAAACCAAAGATATGGAAGCAAAACTAAATTTTGAATTTTGCTATAAACCCAATCTATATCAACAGTGCACGGAAATATTTCACTATACAAAATGAGCAGGAGAAATAAACTCACTGAATATTGGGTGTAATTCCCTCCAACAAAACTATATTGACTCCTCCAATGTGAGCAGAGGCACAGGTCTCTGTCATCTTCTGGTGCAAAATATCTGAATTAGAACACAGGGAAAAAATGCATTTTGATAAACCAAAGACAGGCTCAAATTTGAGAACCAGTATTATTATTCTAAGACAAGGAAACACTTCCACTATAACACTTTCTTGAAAAGATGGCCTTTGGTTGCCCTGTTTCAGAAGCCATCGTCTTCAAGTATTATTAAGGTTCACAAGCAAAACAAACAACCATTCAAACAATTTATCATCCTTTGAAATGTAATACAATTTTGACATTTTGATGATTGGACTTAATATTAATACCAACTGGCTGAAACCGTTACAAGCATCTTCAAAATGCTCCAGTCTTGGAAAATTACAGACACTTTCAGTATTGTGCATGGAATAATAACGAGGAGACATAATCCACTTGCTCCAAAGGGGTATTACCACCACCTGCTTGGTTTTTCAGATCAAGAAAACAAACGAGTAACTGGAGAATTTAATTAAAAAGCTCTGTATTCCTTTTTTGCTTACTTTGTTGTTACTTTGTTTTATTGTTTACTAGGTTGTTTGCGTTATACAGCTTTGTTGTTGTGCAAGTTGGTGTTTCCTTAATGTCTTTGTATTGGAGCATAATTGCATATGACAAATTGAACTCCGACCTCACCTTTCATTTTCTCCTTTAGCGTAAAGCTACCATGGATCTTCTTGAGCTCAGCCTCCATAGTCAGGCCCCCGATGTCGGCTTCGAGGTGTGTGCGGTTCACCATGCCAATCCCGAAAACGATGAGAGTGACGTGCTGAGGCTCAGAGCTCACCAGGCTCCTCTTCCTCTGCAGCTTGTTCGGACTGGAGGAGTCCTGCTCGTTCTCGAATACCACTCTGCAGCTCGGATCGGAGGGGCTCCTGCCCCCTTCTGCCAAAGGAGATGCCAAAGATTAGACAGGAAGGAGATGTCAGAGGTTCTTTCAGCTAAGCAAGAGGACTAGTTCTTTGAACCTTGAGAAAGCCAAGGTATGAGGAGTCAAAGGTGAAGAAAAAGAAGATGTACATTCTAAATCTTGCCAACAAACCTCTATTATAAAGTTGTATGTCAGGGTAGACAAGTGTTTGGATTCCCTGGCAAAATTGCTCTATCCTTTAATTTAAGGACAAGCATTCTCTGAATATCTAAATTTTGGAACAGCTGGCTTTTATCTGTCCATGATAAGACATGCATAATAATTATTAAGTTCACAGAGAGGAAGAGTAGAGCAGAGAAGTATTCGGCCCATGAAACAGAAACAGAAACCTCCTTCAGTCGATTCAGAGACCACAAATCTATGCAGGTAATCTTTCTACACAAGGCCATAAGTACAGGGACTTTATGGAAATACTAACATCTCCCCATGTTTTGTGATGTACTGTTTGTAATACAGAAATAGGACCCCAATCATTCAGCATCCATTGTCAAAAGTTATTTAGTCCTGGACAAGATCCTTGTTTGCTAGGATATAGGGTTCCATCTTTGCCCTTTGAATGCGTTTTGCATCTCCATCTCGGAGAGAATTCCATGTTTTTCAACTATGTTAAAGGCAGCAATTCATAGCACACAGTACTTTAAATATCTGTAAATAATAGCAGTAAAATGTTCTGTGCTTATCCTGCTGTAAAATGAACATCTGTCATTCTTAGCCTGACATCTGGTTACTCCACTACCAAGCTGCGTTACTCTCACTATTCCCTGGCTATAGGCAATACCGTAAATATTGTTCATTTTTATAATTTTTCTACTTGTAACAATATCAACATCTGATTATGAAAAAGTACCTCAATTTTACTGGACACAAAAAATACTGAAAAAAAGATGACCAATAAATGAATGCCCTTTCCATTTAAGTTACCAGTTAATGTAACCAAATACATCAATTAGAGGTAGAAATGCCTTCTTTAGTGTAAATTATAAAGGATGCCTATAGCTTCCCTGGCTGTAAATTCAAGTTCGGCTGTATTCTGCACTCTACCTGTTGGCCCTGCAGTCTCTGGGGAGGTCTTCTCCAAGATCCCAGTCGGATCTGAGATGAGGGAGTAAAAGTTGAGCAATTTGTACATGTTCTGCCAGCACTCTGCAGAAGGCTCGCTCTGCTCAGAGACAGTGATGGAGTCCGAGTCATCCATCTGGATGGTCATGTGATCTGCCACGTCCCGGGAGCCCTTCCGGGAAACCTTGGAGGTCCGTCTTTCGGCTCGCCCGATCGAGTTCTTGTTGCGGGGCTCCTTCTTGTTGTTCTCCCCCGCGGGCCCCCTCTTGTTCTTCTGGTTGTTGAGCCGGCTGGCCCCGTTCAGGCTGCCCCGCGAGCTGCGGCTGAAGTCGGACGAGCGGAAGTCCCTGTGCTTGCGGGTTTTGAAGGTGGGCGTGGGCGAGGCCGATCCCGCCGTGTAGCGGCTCAGCTTGATGTCCGTCTGAGTGGCCTTGATGTCGTCGATCATGGTGCTGAACTGGTGGATCAGGCGAACGAGGGCCATGTCGACATGCTGGCTGATGGACTGGCAGGATATAGTGAAGTTGCAGTGGAAGGTGTTGTAGTGGCGCCGATTCAGGTCGTGGAAGGACAGGGCGCTGGTGGAGTTCTGGGGAGTGCTCATGGACTTCTCCATTGCCACCGCATTTATGCTGAAGGTTTCGAACATCAGAGCAGGCTTGAATTCCAAAGGAGGAAGGTTAACAGTTCCTTGCCTGTAAAACATTTATAAGACACTGACTGAATAAAAGCAAATCACGGCTGATTTCAAGGACCGCCACAACAACATATGGCCAAGGCTTCACGCAAGACTTCACTAAACAATTCTTCAGTACTTCAAATGTTGATCAAAATATCCATCAACGATCATACACAATTAAAAGCATCAAGCTGCCATTTTAAATGGAAATTAATAAGGATTTAAAGTACAATCCTAGCATTGTATAGAGCACTGAAGCATTTTTTTCCTCTTACCATGAAAACTGAAATTAATTTAAAGGACAGCTGGTTTGGATGTATACTTCTTCACAAGGTAAGCAATCAACACTTGTCTACATGATACACTGATAAAACACCTGGACTTGATAATCAAGATTTCTCAAATGTTGTTATTCAGTTGTATCGTTAAATCGTTCCTAACACTTCTGCTTGTTAACACTGTCACAACCAAATATCGTTTATCACCTGCCCTTTCTTTCCCGGTTTGTCTTCTGTGCAAGGTTGATTTAAGCCTCTTGGCCAGGCAGTCCTTGTAAATAAAAACTCATTTAAGAGTAAAAGTATAAGAGTAAGAATGTAGCAACAAAAAGCTTTACATTAAAAACTCTGCCTTCTAATGTTAGCTTGCAATATATAACTCAATTTCTCCCAATGTTCATTTTATGCTGTTTAAAGTAAATTATGGAATAATTATACATGACTATTAGAGTACCACTTCAGTTTTGTTACCAAGTATCTTGTAGCATTGTAAGTAATGGAAGTTTCAGAATGACAATATCCTAAACCTAACAGATGCATACATCCAAGTTAGTATTGTGAAGCAAAAGGAAAATGTGTACCTTCTTGATCTTTTGTTCTTCCTTTCTTTGGAGGTATCTGAATCCACAATATCTGCTCGTAGGCATTCTAGAGTTCCTGAAAAGGAAAGATGCTCCCCAAAATACATCCTGTAACTCAGAGGTGCTGCATCTTGAGATTGGATGCCAGTGTAACTCAGCAGGGGTTTGAACACAACCTGAGTACAGGAGGGAACAAGAGGGAATCTATTTAAAGCACTACATACTAAAGTCACGTAAATATTCACCTGTAAACCATGGTCAAATCAATAAACTCCTCCTATGGAAAGCAGTTTTAGACCTCTGAATACAAAGGGGATATTACCAAATAAATCATTTCCACTGCAGTACAAAGGGCTCCAACCCTTGTTGTTACAGCAAAATATCATTAACCCAAAACTACAAAAGGAAAAACATGAGATATTTACACAACTGGCCATAATTTCATTATTATTTTAGTACTGCCCTTGTTTTGCTACAGCCTTGTGCATTCTATCACAAACCTTATTTGGTCTTGCAAAAGGTGTTCCAGAAACTGAATGTACGATACCGCTCAAAAGGTTATAAATGTCCTATAATATGTAAATAACATGCACAATGTATCAACTACATTAAGTTTGAGTAGGTAGCTGTGTCAGAAAGCATAGGCTGCAAAGGAACAGGTAAAAGGTTAATTCTATGCTGAAATGAAAAGAGAAGAAACACAAAGTTTTGCCTGTGGAGCCTTCTTCAGGTGCAAGGAAGAGAGGCAAAATAGGAGATAAATAAGGCCTCTCTCCCTCTTTCTCCTTATTTTGGAGATAAATAAGGTTTTATTTACCTACTATTTTACCATCTCTCCTCAAACCTGAAGATGGATCCACAGCAGAAAGATTGTGTTCATTCTGTTAGTACCTGTTAGTCTGCATTGCATTTACTTACCTGAGCATCAGCTAGCTGGACAGCAGGTGGACCCTGGTTGCCCTCCTCTATATCTGCAATTTCATCTTGACTGGTGCTGCGCTGTGAATGTGTACCATCCAGGGTGTTCTGGTCACTGGACAACACAGTGTTGAAGTCAGAAGCAGACGGAATTGTAGGGAGATTGTATGTAACTCCTAAAGACAGAAGAGAATGGTTCACTTTAATCCAGATGTCTGGTAACAGTCTACTTTGTATCCCCTTCAGGAAAAGACTTATTCCAACTCATTTTTTATAAATATTATTAAATAAATTGCACCAAGCAACACATCCATTACCACTAACCAGAAGACAACTTAAACTAAAATACACAGCAATATCAATACATAATGCATAAAAATAAAACCCAGGGCAATTGGGCAACTTTGCTAGCTTCATTGACAGTGACAGTAGATCATTGACCCAAAAAAAGAGTCTCCAACAGCATTGTTCCAAAAACCCAGAAGAAGCTTAAATGCTCATTTTTCCTGATTTTGTGCTGGTCTATCTGGTTTCTTGTAGCATTATTTGACTCTGAAGTAGTCCAGTGAGTTGTCATATCCAATGTTACATTTACCCCAGATTTCCTTTTGAGCGAGAGAGAATGAAAGATGGCAACTAGCTCAGGCCTACCTGTCTGGAGGCTGTTGTGCCCTGATCTTGTCACAGGGGACTCCTGCACAACACTCCCCCTGTTCCCAACAGCGTTTGACATCCAGTTGTAAAAGCTGACTGAGGAGGGCTCTGATAGCAAGGGGTGTTCCGTCAGCATGTCCGAGCCGACGTTGTTACCTGGATAAAATTGCAAGAGAGGCATCAGGACAGGATCATTTTAGAAGGCAATATTACATATCCTCAGCTGATGCCCTTACCTAAGGTGTCTTGCAATACACATTTTCCCATATGTTACAATAATGTACATAAAAGACATTTTTAACGATATGATGACAATAGTTTTTGCTGCTTATTTACAAAGCTTTATTCTAAAAGTAACTGTACATTTTACATGCCTGATACTACTTAGATGCCAATTAATATATACTATATGTATGAGTTTTCCTAAGAGGGTTTAGAGTTAACCACAAAGAGAAATGTATTATGCTGTATTTGTTTACATTTTCACAATGTTAATAAAAATGTTAAAACAGCGGTGTAGAGAACACAGCCTGCAGAGTGCTGTCACCCTGCAAGAAGATCATGGTGTAATGCTGGTTATTTCTCACACATCATCTGGAGTCCGAGAGATATTACAAGCTTAAAAAATAGTTACAGGCTTTAATTGTAAAAGTAATAATAATTTCACGTTTGTAACAATTAGCTATTTTATTTTTCATGATCCAACATTAAAAATTCCAATCGCTCTTTGAACATTTCGGTTTTAAGATATCAATACCGATCTTGCTTTGTTTTTTTGAGCCTCTGACATACTTTACAACACCAGGCCCACGTATGTCACCCAGTATGCATGAATAAATAAAAACGCCCTGGACTTGTTTTCATGGTAATCGCTCAAATGGAAAGCTCTGGTGACTGCAGTCCACACCCCCAGATCAAGAAAACACAAATTTAATCTAAATAGGAGTCGATGGGATATTTCCTGGTTGCACTTAAATGCAATGATGAACCATCCATATCTCCATGTTGCATTTTATGGCTATATATCAAATAGCCATACAATGTGTTTTCTTAAAGTCGTGATGGTACCAGTTGAGATTCTACTCGGTCTTTGAGTTTTGTTCACAGTACTGTTTATTTATGCCAATGTCTGGACTGTTTCTTCAAGCCTGCAGAATGATGTCCCAGCCCAAATTAGGACATGAAAGTGTTGATTCACTTGCAAGATCAGTCTTTAACCTTATTTTTTATATACACGTTATACTTCTCTGTTGAAGATATTGCATCAATTAATGTATTCAAAACAGAAAACTGTTTTGCTTAAAATAAAATATTAACTGCAACTTCGTATGGAACAGTTATTTTTAATTTATTTAATCATCTCCTAATGAAGTCTTTAATGAAGGTTGTTTTGCTAACTATAAAAATGCTATAAAAATCTATACAAACCTTAACTCAGCACAAACAAGTTGGTTATATGAACCTATCAATATTTAATGTATTTCTCAGGATCCCCAAACAATTGTAGCTGACAGCTTTTAAGAACAGAAAATGTGTTGCATGTTTATAAATCATTTAAAACTTCTTTATAGAATGCACTTTTTTGGTAAATGACTGAACTAAATTAAATAAGTTGGGGATCCTGATACATAACAGAATTTAATTTTATACTCATAGATTCATAGCAACTCTTAAAATCAAAAGGTCAGAAAAAGTGGTTATAATTATTCTGTCAAAAGCAGTTCTAGCCCAGTTCTAGTAAGAGCCCAGGAAAATGTTATTTGTTTTTTTTTCACACCTTTGGGTGTCTGTATCTTGCAACAGTTATGTATATCACCAAATGCAACTGTGACGGATTAAATAAAAAACCTGTTCTTTAATAATTAAAAATCTGTAAGCTGTTCTGAAGACACATTCAGGCAAGCCACTATCCCCTTACTTTAACAGTGCAAATGAACTGCAAGAAAATACAGGTGAAACTAAAATGATACCTCCCGAAATTGAGAGTTTATAGGCCAAACTGTTTTTATTTTCTAAAGCACTGCAATTAGCGGTATGTGGTGTTTTGCCAATCAGCTAGTAAACAGTTCTGGGCATAAAAAGAGCTACTGCAACATGTGTGGTGCAAGTCTGAAACATGATGTCAATTTTGGTTACATGCTTAAAGGCTCATCTGACCCAGGATACCTGCCGTGAACCTGCTAGGATTCCCGGTCTTCAAACATGAGCAATTTCAACAGTGGTAAAAGCAGAGAGTAAGCGAAGTCAAAATGATCCATAGAACAACAGGAAAATGATGCTTATGGTCTATAGATAATGACTAAGCACAGAACAGGGACCTTAGACCAGTTTGTTGCCATATTGCCATAGGCAGAGGTGTAAAGCTCAAATCTGGCTAAAAGTAAAGCCCTGAACAAAACTCAACCACCCCATTGAAATCTGAGTGGCGAATCTGTTATGAGCTCAAGACTTAGTCTTCCACCTCCAATGTATTCTAGTGTTAGGGGACTGCGCGAGGGTGCAGCGTGTATCTCAACAGGCCTCAGTACCTGCCCTGGTGAGAGAGCTGCTCTTGGCTGCAGTGGCGCTGCGCTGGGGGGTTCCCTCCAGCAGGTTGTGCAGACTGGGGAAGCTGCCCGTGAGGTAGCTGAGCAGGCTCTCTTTCCTGGGGCTGTCCTTCGCAGGTAGGCCCGTCCTGCTCACATGGGCTGGGGAGTCTGCAGCTGTATCCCCACTGGTGTAGCTCAGAGACTGGTAAGGATGGACACCCTGTAAGGGGGAGATGTGAATGTGTATGGCATGACGACAGTCTGGAAAGTTCTGAACTCTAGAGATAAAAAACGCCTACATCCCCAGTACAAAAAACATGACAAGCAATAAGTTGAATTTGACATGACATAAAACTACCAGAATTCCTGTAAAATTCAACTTGATAATCATCTTCTTATTCTTCTAAGTTTTCAAAAAATGTACACTAGTCGATAAGTTGATATTTGGCCAACAGACCCCGCATCCCAGGAAACTACCATTCTGACCACAGAAAATAAATAACTTTTTACTTCCATTGCAGGAAATCTATTCGTTAATAAAGAGGCAGCTGCATTTCTAAATAATAATAAGGTAGAAAGACACTTAAGTAAACTCTCTACTTTCGAGCCAGATTTGCATAAAGAATGGACAAACAGCTGTTACATTACTTTCCCATCCATTTTTAGTGAACAGATCCATTTCCCTCAGTTTCTTAGAGAAGTTAGAAAACCAAAAGGATGGCCTAGTTTCACGTTATGAGGTCTGAAACAGGATGGGTTTTCCCATTATTAATCTTGAACAGAAGTCAGTCAAGATTGCAGGAAAGAGGCAGCAGACCTTTATTTTGAGAGCAGATTCGCTGTGGGTGTGAGACTTGGAGAGTTTCCTCATGATCTCTGAGCCGCTCACCGGTCCCGACGTAACAGCAGTGGGTGGAGGACGAGTACTTGTCCCTTCTAACAGCATTGTATGTTCACTTACAGTTGCTAAGACAAGAGAGTATATGTGTTACACCAAATACCTTTGCTCCTATGGAAACAAAACTAGAAAATGTTGGCAAGAATCCATTTTTAATAGAAATCTGAAATATTTTGTCACCTTGAAATCTGTACTTCTAAGTAAATAAATAAAGCAAAAACAAACCATTAAGGCACCCATTTGTAGTCTGAAAAGGTTAAGAAACACTGAAGTATAAGCGCCACAAACTATCTGTAGACTGAATAGACAAATTTGTTTTACCTGCATCAAACTCAAACTCTGCCCCATCAGCGCTGGTGTCACTCTGTAAGCCTCCCCCATTGTCCAGCCCCTGGCCTGGCTCGTAAGAAACTTGGTTGTGCTCCTTGGGTTTGGGCAACTGTGTGGGTCGCATCAGTCCTATGGCTTTAAAGCCCTGAGTGACCACAATAAACTTCATCCACTGCCTGGCTAAAGCCACCAGTCCCTTCTTTAAAGTCACTAGTGCTGGGAGGCCATCATTCTAAAACATTAAGCATAAGAGTAGAATAATTAAAGGAGATGGCTACAGGAGAAGAGTTAAAGGGTATGTCAGATGCAATCAAGGCGAAAATGTACAGACGGTATCACTATTTTCACAAGTCTTCTTTTTTTTTTTTAAAGAGTTAGGTTCAAGTGGAATTTTTCCACTCTTTTTTGTTTTTTTCAAATACAAAAATAGCACAGAGCACTAAAAAGTCCAAGCGCAACAAACAAAGTTATAAGTGAGAAAGGGCTGTTCAGCCCACTTAGCGTGTCCGGTCGAGGGTAAGTGATCTATTGAAAGAAGCAGAGGTAATAGCTTTGATACTGAGTGGTCTACTGAGCAGTGGAAGAAGTCATATGAGTCACCCTGCTCTCAACAAGCGGATGTGTACATGTTTAGCGCAGGCCAAAAGAAGCTCATAGGCTTTAGTGCTAATTTTTTCACTGTGAAGGGCTCTGGCGGTTCTATCAGTGTGGAAAGCATTTTTCTGGCATGGTTTTAACTCCATCATCCCCTTAGAGGGCAAGATAAATGCCAATAAATACGAAGCCATTCTGAGGGATCATGTTCATCCTATGGTGAAGCAGTTTCTATCCTGATGGGAGTGAAATCTTCCAGGATGACAATGCCCCCATCCACAGGGCACGAGTGAAAGGCTGAAAAGCTTGATGAGCATGAAAATGATGTGAACCACAAGCTATGGAGATCCAAGAGCAGTGCCCAAGACAGCGATTTCTACCACTTTAATATTCACACAAGAACTTGTCAGCAATGAATGAATAACGTCCATCCTCCAATTACAAAGTATAATAATTGCAATATATTAACTATTTACTATTAAGTAAACTCTCTGTGGTCAAATAATACATGTGTAATCTTAAAAAGTAAAGACTGAACCTCAACTACACAAAGTAACATTGCACATAATCATCACCACACATTAAGAAAGACAACACACACCTAACCAGCATTGTATTTACTGTATAGTGCTTATTACCAATTCTGACACTTTGCTTAATGTTGTTCCTGTTGAACAGAATATGTGAGGCCTAGACATTCATTAAGTCCATCCTCAGAAAGGAGCACACACACAATGTGATAGACTTGAGAACTTACCATGGTGGCGTCCTCAATAATAGAGTAGTCTGCTTGCTGTAAATAGCGATGGAGTATGTTGCATAGTAAACAGGAAGGGTTCTCATGCAGAAAGCGAGCCCTTTTAGTCACTCTGTTATACTTGCTTCTGAAAGGAAAGTGAATGCTCTTTTTCTAAAATAAAACAGAAAAACACATGCTACTTAAATATTGCATTTTTATTTAAAAAAAAATATGCTTAATTCCCATATTCCAAAAAGTATCACGACCAAGAAATGCCAACAAGAGTAAGAAAGGTGAATCCCAAAACCTTTTCCTTATGGGTTAGCTCAACTGATAGCTCTCAGTGCTGATAGCTTTCAGTGCTGAAATATATACATTTATAACCTAAGAAACACTAAATACTAATGGCAGTTTAGTACTTTTACATTTGACATCTACAAGATACTTGCTTAATTTTCAATACCGTAGTGATTTATAGCTTTGTATACAATTAATATGAAGATCTGGAAAATGATAAACTTCATGACAATCTAAAATAAGAAAATGACCAAAGCAATTCAGTGGTTTTAAACGGCAATAAAATAATTTTATACTGTCAATGTATAACTTTGGACACATAAATAAGACCTATTATCGAATATCTAACTTTACCCACAAGCATTATAGCTGTGGACTTGTATGGCGGGACTGAAAGACAGGCACAGAGAGAAACACACATCAGTGCTTCTTATTTTCACTGCACAGAGAAAATGCACAGGGCTTAGGACTGACAAGACTTTTGTTGTTATGTCCCTTACCATGCCTTGACATCTCAAACAGTGAAATCTTTAAATGGTGCATTTTGAGTGGATAGTTTTGACTAATCCAGCGCTGACTGCGTCTTTATTCTGCCTCTAGGGTTGGCACCTAACCCATTAAATGTGATCACTTTCAATTAATTATCTACCGAGATTTTACAAGAGAAGTTTACAAGATAGACCTTCCAGTCTTAAGAAGTAATGTACTAATTTCTAACAATCCAGATAAAGTGTGGAAGAACTTTTCTGTAAATACTTACCTCTAACGCCTCAGTCATGACGCAGCCCATCACAGCACACACTCGGAGGGTTCCCTCGGTTTCCAGTTTGTTCAGAGAAGATTTCAGTTGGTCGATAGGAACAAGCCATGCCCCAATGGCAGGTGTTGCTGTGCTTAGAAGATTCAGTTGCCTGTTCATAACAGAAGAATGTGGTCCCTATTTAAAACTGCTGTTCTAGTCAAAGTCATGCTTTTCATCCATCCATCTTCTAACCGGTTAATTCAATTCAGGGTTGCAGGGAAGATGAGAATCTATCCCAGCAAGCAATGGGTGCAAGGCAGGATACACCCTGGACAGGACGATGGCAGTACATTGCAGGACAAAGACACAAACACGCACGCACACATCAGGGCCAGTTTTTACAGAAGCCAACTACCAGGGTGTCTTTGACCTGCAGGAAGAAACCAGAGCACCCAGCCTAGACCCAAAGGAACACAGGGAGAACATACAAACTCCACACAGACAGCATCTCAGATCTGGAACTGAACCCAAGACCCCAGCTCTGCACGGCAGCAATGCTAATCAATGCTTCCATCATATTTTTCAATTTTTAAAAATTTTCTGACTTTCATTGTTCATTCCAATAATGGGATGTTAAAACAGTCATTTTTAGCAGCTGTGAAATTCTCCATTGTACACATTATTTAGAAGGCTTTTACAAATCCTTTGCGTTCATGTCTCGAATCAATGATAACCACAACTGATCAAATAATGGAACATCTTATTATGATCAAATATCTCAATGCAATATCTGAAATAAATCTGAACCCTACAAAACCCATTTTTTGGGTTAATTAATAGAAACCGAATTGCTTTGATTCAGATTTTATTTCATAATATGAAGCCACATCCCTCTGGGTAGGAATACAAAATAAAACCGCCTCAAAACGCACTCTTCGCCCAGGACCACTGTACTCTATCATGTTCTCTGGGAATACCTGGAGAAGGTCTGGGCAGGGGAGCGCACGTTGGTAGGAGCCGCGAAGCTGAACCAGATCTCTCGGATGGTGAGCTTCATGCTGCTGGAGTCCGGAGGAGGAGGCATGAGTGGCAGGTCTTTCTTGAGGTCATCAGACTCCACCCCTTCATCCTACACACACACAAAAACACCACAGAGGAACTGATCACCACTGTTTTTCTGTCTGGTCTGCCCACATACGTCCAGCTAGGTGAACCAGAATATCACTTTTACAGATTTTATAGAGCACACCATCAGACCCTTATATTAATCATAAGCAATAAAAAAAGAAACTGTCATAAAACAAAAAACAAAATCATGCTGATATTCTTGGAAGATGACCTCAATATTTGAACCCTTTCCCTCATTTGATAACTCTTCACAGGCAATTAATAAAAAAGCACTGTCTATGCCTTTTATATCTGTACAATTTCTATCACATTTACCCAGTGAATGTTGAGAGTAAAGAAATAATTTAAAAAATATGCATTATTACAGCTCTGCATCTTGACACCAGAACTATGGGTCATTTGTACAGTACTGAGACGTGTCAAAAAAGATCACACAGTGCCTAGACTTAGGCATTTCTACTAAATTGTAAAGTTTTGCCTTGGTCAAACAGCTGATCTACAGCCTGTATGGCCACAGATAGGTCTATTGCAATAGAGAATAAAATCCTAAATTTCATTATCTTCTCATCAAATTGCTATTCTAAACATGACTGCTTCTGCTTTAGGTTACAGAAAGGACACTCACAAGCTTCCCAATTAGCTTTCAAAACTATTAGGGAATAACGCACCAAAAATACTGGTATTTAGTTTTATTATGACCTACAAAGAATCAGTTTCTTTTAAGTCTGACAAAGCCCTGACGAAAGCACAATGTATCACCTCTCCATTGTATTACTGTTTGCTTAAATCAGACCACCTGTTGTGAATCTCTTTAAGAGATACAATACAAGTTTAAAAGCTTATCAATGAAAGGCATACATATCTGGACAAAAAAATAATTAAGCTATAAGATGGGTCTGGCCAACCTCTTGATTTTTAATAGAGCATTTGTCTTTTAAGGTCACTAAAGCAATTCTTTCTGTTACTGAAATGTCACTTTTTAACAAGACTTTGTCAAGCATCAAAGTAAGTACGAGAAATTTAATTTAATATTGAATATGCAAAGGTGGCAAAGTTAAATTAGGCTTGTCGTTGGTTTATGACCAGCCATGCAACCACACATTGTAAGACTGTGATGGATGGTAGACTATCTAGAAATAAAAAATATTTATTTGTACTGAACATCCCAAAAGTTGTGGGAATCCAAGAAGTCTATGACAATATGGTAACAAATCTAATTAACTCTGATACGGCATTATAATACAAGAGCTAGTTACCTATAAGACTATTTGTCATATCAGATTCTTTAACAGATGTCACGTGTGTATTTTAGAAAGCACAGTGGCACTGTGCTCGGTCCCCCCGGAGAGCTGTAATCACCTGCTCGTCAGAGTCCGAATTGCCGTTCGCATCAGATGAGGGGCTGGCTGCATCGTGTGGAAGGTTGTCATCGGACACGTCAGTGCTGTATCCGCTGCCAGTTTGAGAGCCCGAAGACCCGTTGGATTTCAAAAGCCCATTTCTTTCTGGGCCGTCTGCTTTACCCATGACGCCAAAGGCGCTGTACAGAACCGCTCCGGACTGTCTTCCTCCTAAATGCAATTGAACATGCAAAGTCAATGGCCACAGGTGTTTTCTGCTGTAACCTCTAATTAG